TCTGACCCACACTTCATGCCAGACCCACCCTGGGTAGTCTGATCCACACTTCATGCCTCACCCACCCTTGGTAGTCTGACCCACACTTTATGCCAGACCCACCCTGGGTAGTCTGACCCACACTTTATGCCAGACCCACCCTGGGTAGTCTGACCCACACTTCATGCCTCACCCACCCTGGGTAGTCTGACCCACACTTTATGCCAGACCCACCCTGGGTAGTCTGATCCACACTTCATGCCTCACCCACCCTGGGTAGTCTGACCCACACTTTATGCCAGACCCACCCTGGGTAGTCTGACCCACACTTTATGCCAGACCCACCCTGGGTAGTCTGACCCACACTTTATGCCAGACCCACCCTGGGTAGTCTGACCCACACTTCATGCCTCACCCACCCTGGGTAGTCTGACCCACACTTTATGCCAGACCCACCCTGGGTAGTCTGATCCACACTTCATGCCTCACCCACCCTGGGTAGTCTGACCCACACTTTATGCCAGACCCACCCTGGGTAGTCTGACCCACACTTTATGCCAGACCCACCCTGGGTAGGTGTACCTGTAGATATACAATCGGAAAAGCTTTAGACAAGCTTATCTGTCAACATATTGTCGGCCCAGGAAGCATAGGGACTGTTAGGTCTCGCAATACCCTCTTTTGAGTGGAGCCTTCATTTTGGCAAATACAATCAATGTTTACTCTATGATTAATCATTTATGTTGACACATAAGAAATCCTTCAAAAAGTCATGCGCTTCACAGCGAGGAAAGGGTAGTGAGGTGTAGGGTGTGGCTAGGGTAACTGATCATGTGCTCTGCAATTTTCCCGCCCAAATCACTTATCTCTCGGGCAAAGTCCGTTCTTACCCCTCTACCAACACACTTGAGGTTTAAATCAGTTGGCCCAGATTACGTCGTTGGTCCATTCACGAGCCGGGTGGAGAGTCGGGGGAAGACATAATGCACACCCAGTCAGCTCGAGGCATCACAGGGCAAGCATGGCCACAAAGAACTGCTCAGTCAGGGTAGGACGCTTGCTATTCACAGTCTCTTTCACAGCTTCTTCAAGCCTTCGCACCTAGGCCTGACTCCATGCATGCTGCCATATGGAGAGTATTCAAGTATGTGTACATGCATTCAAATGGGCCGTCGTGCGTTAATGTCGCCTGATTGGTATTCCAGTCTTCATCAGGCGGAGATTAGTCGGTATAATGATACACATTACTTGGACAGTATTGGGACCATGACTATGTGCAAGGATGTGTACTCTTTCCGTCTCTCACAACCTGGACTTGGGTGACAGTCATCTGCACAGGTATAGCATGGCACTTGAGTCTTATCTACTAACATATTACTATAGATTATTGATGTGGGAATTAATCTGCAAGTCATTGTGAACCACCACGTGGCGGGCTGATGAATCTGATGTGTAGAATAACCTGCCATACAGGCAACATGTAGTACAGGACACACAGCATGTTCCCAATCAGGTTGGTCTGGTGCCTCAGGGTTTCAAGGTGTTGGGCATGTTCACTGAAAATTTCATAGACATGTATTTGTACATTTTAATTTTAATTTTTTTTCTCTAATTTTCATCTCGTTAAATAAATTTATTTTGATTAATTTTAATTGTTATGTTGGTTGTTTTTATTATACTTACTCATTTTGTTACATGAATTTGGATTTGTGTAGACTTATTTAAGTACATGAAATGTACCGGTATACTTATTATTGAAGATGAGTCATAAAACGAGTTCTAGTTAATGGTTGGTATTGAGATATATTCTTTAATGACTTGCATGGTGCTTGTTCCATTGGATAATAGGAAATTACTTTAAATTTGATATATAGACTATGCAAATATTTCAAAAGTTAAGTTTAAGTGAGAAGGATATCAATTATTTCAGCAAAATTGATATGTAATTCATAGCCATGAGGACAGAGTGTATCAGTACTGACCGGGACAGAAACATCGTCACACATGTATGAAATGTGTAGTTGATAGTATGTATATGCTACATGCCTTGAGTTAAATTGTGTGGGTGTTGAAAATAACAGTTGCTGCATTTCCATCAAGCGGTTGCCCTCAGTACTCCATGACTGATGTTATTGTGTGTCCGGCACGGGTTGTGAAAAGAGGCTGATGTGCTCATGCTTGCTCTGAATGCGTCCATCAGACTGTGTAACCACTGTAGTTGTATGCTGATGTCGTCTTGCTTTAATTGGATGACACTACAGTGATTTAGAAAGAAACATAGGTGTTTGCTTATTGTAACATGGCATCGCCATGTTTTTATGTTTTTCTAGGCAATGGCTGCAAAAGTGGTGCTTGACATTTTTTTAATTAGTTGCTTTCATAAAAATAATTTAACCTATTTATTTGTAACTTGTGTCAGATTTTTTGGTTATTTTGTTATTTATTTGTTTATAATATTTGTGATTCTGACAGACCTGCAGACTTTAATATTAAAACCAACACCTCTTAATGATAAATTTGCAAGCATTTTTGGACCATTGATTTAAGAAGAAAAGTTTGTTGTAAAATACAATAGGGACAGGTAGGTTAACATTTTCATATATATTCACTAAGGAATGTTGTTATTTGTGTCATATTCATATGAAAATTTCACATAGACATTTCAAATCAAGAGAGAAAATGTATAAGGTTTTTCTGGTTTTGGATTAACTAGATTTTAAAAAAAAGCAATTTTATTTTATTTTGTCATTGATGTGGGTCAAAGGATGTTTTTTTATTTCATTTATTTATGACCTGGGCTAAATTATTTTCACACCATTTTAACATTTCTATGTGCAAACATGGCAAAAGGTCCTCTATTCTTTGCATGCACTAGGAATAATTGTGATGTTGTGACATACAGCAATATTCTGTCCATCTGTGCAGAATGACGCACAACACTGTCACTATACAGGCAATACCATATCGAATTGCTCAGTCTTTTGCTCGTACCATACATGATGGGATTTCAGTTTCACGTTTACGAGTCTACCACACGATGTGCCGGCCACAAGGCAAACAAGTGAATGTTTGCTGATAATCATAAATGGCCACATCTGTCCTTTCTGAAGATCATAAAAGTTTACAGCCTCTGTTTTCCATGACATGCCATGTGTCCATGTAACCCACTCGAGCTTCTCTCTGCACGTGCCGGGGCACATGGTTGTCCTATTGTTCCCCGCTGACTACTTCTGGTACATTTTTACTTGATTATTGTCGGAGTAGAAGAGTCATTTCCTGTGTGTGTCTACATCAAACTGACTTCGTGTTGAGTTACAGTGGGAATGTAGGATATGCATTCTCCATTCCCAGGAATATCTGTATCAAATCTGCTTTATTAGAAAAATATTAGGGCCACTTATTTCTTTATTATAGTAATGAGGTCAAAGGAAATTTCATCAGTCTGAAATAAGGTCATCTCATTTGAAGTAGGTTTATTTCCAGGTGTTTATAATCCAGGAGAAATGTACAGTAGACAGTGATAAGAAAGTCCATGTATTCATGTTGTAGGTCTAAAACATTTTTGTAGGTTGGGTAATTTGGACTATATCTTTGTTTTATGAACTTAGAGCTGAATTATTTTATTCATTGTTAGTCTTCTATTCTGAACAGATGTAATTTGTTTATCAAAATCATTTATCATTTTGAAGCTGTAAAAAAAATATCTTTTCATTCTTATTTCGGCTGATGTCATCCATATGTCCAGGTGTTTTTTGTGTGTTTTATAGTTATCAGCAAGGGCAGGTAACTCTATGGATACCTAAATGGCTTTGCCTTGTGTATTTTACTAAGTAGACATCCTTAATATCTGTATACCACACTCAAGGAATGACAGGAAGCTGTATAATCAGTAGCATCAATGTCGTGCAGTGAAAATATAATAAAAAGCAAACTTGTAACTTCTGAAACATGTGTGTACATCCCATGTTGTGTACAGTCTCTCTCCATCCAACAGTGTGTACAATATCTTGACATCCCATGTTCTGTGACATAATTTCTCTAAATCCCGTTCTTTGTACAATTTTTCCACATCACACACTGACAATATTTCAACACTCTCTACAGTGTTGCTTTAACTGTGTACAATACTTCTACATTCAACACTGCACTATACTTCTACATTCAACATTGCACTATACTTCTACATTCAACACTCTGTACAATACTTCTACATTCAACACTGTACAATACTTCTACATTCAACACTGCACTATACTTCTACTTTGAACGTTGCACTATACTTTTACATTCAACACTCTGTACAATACTTCTACATTCAACACTGTACAATACTTCTACATTCAACACTGCACTATACTTCTACATTCAACATTGCACTATACTTCTACATTCAACTATCTGTACAATACTGCTACATTCAACACAATACTTCTACATTCAACACTGCACTATACTTCTACTTTCAACATTGCACTATACTTCTACATTCAACACTGCACTATACTTCTACATTCAACACTGCACTATACTTCTACTTTCAACATTGCACTATACTTCTACATTCAACACTCTGTACAATAATTCTACATTCAACACTGTACAATACTTCTACATTCATAATGTATTTATAGGTCTTTGAAAGTTGATGATATACTTGTTGATGGATGTTACTGCATCATCTCCATGTATTTATACATGTCAAGAAAGCAGAATCTTTGAGCAGAGATTCTAGTTCATCTAAGATCACCTGATAGTGATTCTGGTTTTGTCAGCACCATACCCGTGCTTGTGGATTTCACCAAAGTGGTAAACATCTAAGGCCTGCATCACTTTACTTGCCTCCCATGAGAACACATGGTTATATACTATTCCATATGCCATGACATATTAACTATAGTAACAGGATAGAATCACTTGGTCCTTAACTTTCTTTGAGTAGTATATAACTGTTCAAAGCTGCAACCTAATCACCCATTCATCCATTCCAGCTAATATTTCATGTTTGTCTTTGTATCTTACAGGATTTTCTGAAGGGGTCGGTGGATCTGAATGGGACCTTGGTGACAATATCAGCCTCCAGCATGAAATCAACAGGCTGCGTCAGGAGGCCACACGACTACAAACTGAGGCTCAGCACTGGAAATCAGTAGCAGGACAACTGGTTAGTCATTACCTCTAATCCAGCCTAGTTTGGGTTTGAATTCCGGATGGGACTCATTATTTCCCCAACACTATCAATCACTGTTTTGTGTGGCCCAGACTCTGTTCCTTTTCAGTCCTGCCTGTATCTTTGACTAAAATGTAAAACTCACCAACTAGATCTGTGTTCTGTGACCTGTGAAGATCTGGGTAGAATAGGTCTTCAGCAACCCATTCTTGCTGTAAAAGGCGACTATGCTTGTCGTAAGAGGCGACGAACAGGATCACTGACTTTGTTGATGCATGTCATCATATCCCAATTGCGTGGATCATTGCTCATGATATCAATCACTGGATTGACTGGTCCAGACTCCCATTATTTACAGACCGCCGTCATATAGCTGGAATATTGCCGAGTGAGGCGTTGAACAACAACAAACAAAACAAACTGTAACACATAAAGTACATGTGCACCTGTTTGGCTTTGATCATATAAATGTGAAATTAATGAGATGGATGCAGAATTCCATGAAGATGTTTTGTGGACCCATGTCCACGCCCGGGACACATTGCCTCCATTGTTGATACTACTGCTTCCTGTACTTTGTTACAGTGTGATGGTGACGTTTACTACATCTGTCACAGATGTTGGGTGTGGCCATGTTCACACAGTCACATGAACACATGTATCCGCTAGTGTCGGCGCAGTTCATACAGTACTATCACACGCAGGCTCCAGGGAATAGAAGCTTTATTCAAGTGCATACGTTTGAAAAAGCTGTTTGACATTAATGTGATTAGGGTATCTTCCATGAAATCTTTAGCCATTATTATCATGATTATAGGTATGTATTCTCATTTATTTCATTCCCCATTGAATTTGGATTTACTTAATTAGTGTTATTATTTCATATTTCTATTTAGGGGCAATGGATACATTGGATAGTGTTTCATTCATTTCAGTATATACATGGTCTTAAAAGTAATGGCTGTTACACATATACTACTCAAAAGAAGTTAAGCACACCTGATTCTTTCATGTTGCTATAGTTGATCTGTAATGCCATGACAGATTAACTATACTTATAGGACAAATCGGGTGTTCTTTAACTTCTTGTGAGTAGTATAGATAGTAAAGATATTAGTTATTGATGCAAATGTTAGGTGGTATTGACTGACTTTCTTGACGGGATATATTTCGCTATAACGTTCTGGAAATCTCTTTGTATGGGATCAGTTAAATTTGGGGGTGGGGGCTTTCTGCATGTCACTCATCTGACATCCCTGGGTATTTCCTTAACTTTCTTGACTAGTATATAGTTGGGTAGTCCTGTGGTTGGCGTGTTCTCTCATCATGGCCAACACCTAGGCTAGGTCCCTTCACTGGTCATCTGCAGGTACGCTTTGTGAAGCCCATTCTCTGTGTTCTGTTGGTGTTCGATATGAGCCGTATCCCCCTGTACTGTCGGGATGGAGAATATTTAATTTACTGCACTTGATTTGACATTACCATACAAGTATAGTTTATTCTCAACAAGGTTATGGAATTGAAACATAATTTTCAACAATATTATTCAATAACTTCAAACTTCATTTTATGGAATAAATAAATGTCAGTGAACACTGGTTGTTTTCAGTTACAATGTGGTTGGAGAAAACCATGGCGACAGACTTTCTCACACACTCATTGGCACTGTAATGAGCAAATATACCATCTCTGTAACACAGCTACATGCATATCTCGCATGCACAAACTAGTAACACTTATCACCTATGTGCCTGGCCATATGGTGTGTTTGCAGGTAGGGTAATTACCCGTGTTATCCCGTAACTCCGGGTAGCTTAGGAACACGACTAGGACGATGGGTGATAACAGCATTGTTTGACACAAACGTTGGCAAGGTGTGTCTCCAACTTTCATTAAGTTTGTGTGTGTGGTGACAGGCCGCAGTGTTTGTAATATGGCGGAAACCACGGAGATAAACCAAGCTTCAGCCAATGTGGAGGGCCGCTTGATAGCACACCAACACTGAACAAACAGTCGTCATCGACTTGCTGAGAATTAGCTGAACTACGTCGACACTATGACATGTTGCAACACGACCATTACACGTGTAATTCAACTCGATCGACAAATTACCGCCATGTTTGTTTTGCGTTTGTTAGCTTTTCTTGTGATTAATTTGGTACAGTACATGGTTTTGATCCTGAAATGACAGATGATTATTTTATTAAATGTAGATAATAAAATATCATGAAATCGTTTGGCGCAGTTTTTAAGTAAATAATTTAGTAGTGGCATCAGATTTCAAATATACATGTGTGATTGTAGTTTCGATCGAATAGATAAATGTTTAAGGTCAATATAATACCTTGCACATCATATGTGGCATTTATTATATAACGTTTGTTGATTAAATATGCAATCGTGTTGTGTAAGTTGTATGGTGTATTGAGAGTTGATGATGTGTTTGTATTGAGCCTCCTGGTGTAGCACTGTGAGATAAGGCTGGGTCAAAGTGGTATTTCTCGTGATCAATATTGGGTAAATACTGAGTGTAGTCTTGTGATTAGCCAAATAAATGATTAACGTTGAGACTTCAGGATCCATTTGTTTGACTTTCCTTATTTGTCCTGATCAAATGGTTGTGAGAAAACCGCAGGTCATGACTTGCAGTGGGATAGACTGATATGTTTTGTTCAATAGTCAAGGGTCACGTAGGCACTTTATGTTTTCATGACCAAATATACTTGAAGTGTATTTGTCATGCGTGGAAGTTCACATGAACAAAGCAAAGCAAATCCACTCTGATCTAACACATGATGTCCTTCTAAATAGAATGATACTGATTTTTAGAACCGGTTCAAACCTTTTCTTGTGCTAGGTTTTTAAACTATTGTATTAAATATAACATTTTACTCAAATATTAACTGGTACAAGTGGTGCAGAATTTCTGCTGTTGGCATGTAAACACATTTTATAAATAAAATAATGTCTGTCATAATATTCTTAGGGGTTAATGCATTTGAAATGGGTTTGGGTTGATGAGTCGACCATTTTGTCAATGTAAGCTGTTGAATAGCTTAACCAGAGACAGTGGTCCACGTTCTGATGCCCAGTTTCAGTCTATTTCTAGACATTCTTATTAGTACCATGTGTCAAACTGGGACATTTCTCTGTAATTAGTAGTCATTAACAGATATGATTCATTAAATATGATTTGGCAGACAGTATTAAACTTGCTTGGAGACCAGTTACCCTAAAGTATTGTCTGTAGTTCTGATCAGGAGTTAGTGTTCTGTGGACTATGCACATATGATGTTAGGCTTAACTAATGCCTCGTCACGATATGGCTGAAATATTGTCGATGTGACGGAAAGCATTAACTCACTCACACTCACTTTACTATGGCAGCATGTTGTTTTTTTCCAAAGAATCCTAGACAGTTCTTGATTGTATAGCAAGGAAGCTAAAAATCGTTATTGACATTTACTGCATGTCTTTAATATTGCCCTTTATTGAACTTTGTGCTCCTGGAAAATAATGTTAATTTACATGTATAAAGTGTAGTCATGATTAAATACATTTTAGTGATTTAGTGATATTTAGGAAACTTAACTTTGGATACATAGATGAGAGGACAAGAATGCCAACAATTCTATGGTGGAATTCAGCATTTGTATTTAAGCTTCTTTTGTGGGGATATTTAGTAAGTCCAAGGATGTTCTAGATAAGTGGTCACCCATTGGTGACGTGGGATTTCCTGCTGGTGGTTATTGCATAAGACTGTGCCCTATCTCGCTGTGGTGTCTGGGTGCCGCAACGCCCATGTCCTTCATATAACCCACTTTTTGCCTTATCTGCTGATAAAAGAACTTAATCCCTTCATGAATCTGTTTGGATGATAAGAGGCACCTGATCAAAACGTAAACGCATTTATCTTGCCGGACGTCCATGTTGCTAAGATTGGAAAGAATTTTGCTCCAACTTTGAAGCAAGGTTATCAATCTCGAGTTGGCGTGGCGTTAGTGCCGGCCTCAATGTGGGAAGGACAGGTCTCGTACCACTCTCGGAGTGACACCAGGTTTGCTGAACAATTACAGTCACATTCACGACTTTTATTCGACTTCGATTTTGGAACTATGTAGATCTTTTCTCCACCATGCTGACCATGAAAGGTTCCACTTATATCAACTCATTGGGACTGCTTACCACCTGTATGGAGGTGGTGACAATCATTTCATGAGGTGCACTTTCTCATGGAGTGCTCCTTCACCCTACCTCCATTCTAATTGGTTAATTTGAAACCAGGCAGCCATCTTGTCTATGTGTGTGATTGGCCAACTTTCCACTGCACTTAGAGACTTGGGTTGAGGCAGCAGGAATTGATTATTAGCTTTTGCTCATCGAGTGTCAAACTTAATTGTTTAATGCAGAGCTGGATGTAATCCGATCTACAGAGTCTACTTTTGGAGATTGATTTGTTGTTTCATTGGGACTTGCGTCAGACTGGTATTCCTGCTGTGAATATTCTCACCTGGACAACTTCTAGTGTTTATCCTGAAACTTCATTCCGTTACTTCCAGGATGAACACACTGGGGAAATGGGACTTTTACCGCAACGATTTACTAAACTTGTAAAGATTTAAGTTTGAGAAGGTGCAATGTTTTTTCTGAATTTTCTTTCATTGACTTCTGGCACAGCATTGCAGAAGGTTGATTAGCACTGAAATATTTTATGGAGTATGATAGATAAAATTGGTAGTAAAATTGGATTTTTAAATCAAGGAGAGCCATCAAAGTAGTATCCAAAAACAATGGAGTTTTGTTGTTGTTGTGTCGTATATTGTGTTATTATCAAGCTTGTGTCTACTTTCAGAGCCAGTCAGGGACAAGTAATGAACAGTTTGAAGCCAGCAATGCTGAGATTATCCAGCTTCGAGACAGAGCAAAGGTATAAAGACTTCTTCTTATTTGATGATGATAATGAGGACAGTCCTAAAATAAAATTATATGTATAAACTGCATTTATCCAGATATCTCAGCTCAAATGCGGTTTAGTTGTTCCCGGACCAGTGGATACATATGCATTCCAGTTATCTTTTTAACTCCATGGGGAGTATACACTCCTAGCTGCCTACAAGTTCTAGAGGTTTTACTTTACTACCACCTCACATATCGGAGCGTAACCATAGGAACATTTGATTGAAAGTGTGTTTATTTCAAGTGGCTTTTCAAAAGCAGTTTAAAGGTGAAAAGGCAAAGTTTGGATTATATAGTGAACTGATATTTTAAAAATAATATCCGGAATTTTATAGTGGTGATTAATCACACCATTTTGTAATTTTTCTTATCTCCTTCTTGGCATACTGGCCGAGAAAATCTATAAAGAATAAATAAATTAGATTAGGCCTAGACATAGTTTGTCAACCAGGTTAAACACAATGAGATAAGGATTAAGCAAGTATCTTGTTTGTTTGCTGTGTAATGACACACTCAGCATTATTCAGCTATCAAGGGAGAAGCCCAGTGGTGGTAGAACATGTCCTTGTCATAGGTGAGGTGAGGTGAAATTGGGTTTAACGTCGCGTCCAAGATTATTGCACTTATATAGCGACGTGCATGCACGTGTATGTGTGTGTGTGGCTGCTTGTACTAGTCCGGACTGATGCCGATTTATAGTGCTAGCTCACTGAGATACCATGCCGCAGTTTAACATGAATACCCCACTCAGACACAGTATACTGACTCCGAGCCGACCAGTCCTTGTTTTAGCCCCTTAATGCCGAGCGCCAGACAGGGTAACAACAAGTACAATCTTTTAGCATCTTTTTGTATGACGCAGCCCGGGATCTCCGGGCGGACGCTCTACCACTAGACCACGGAGGCAGTCCCTTGTCATAGAGACAATCCTGGGGGAAGTTGTACACATAAATAACAATTTTGCTGTCTAAATCTTACTTTAATACTCAGTTGAAAATAAATATTGTAAAACAGATCAATGTATTGATTATCAGGTAATACAATCTATAAATTGGTCTACCATATTTTCTGTAATAAAAGCTCTGGGCGCATAGGAAGTTGACAAATGGGCGCTTATTAAAACCATACACATAAGTTATTTGTTTTCAGAAATTGAGCAGTCGTGAACAAACTTAGTTCAAATGTTTATGAAACCAAAAATGTTTTCATTAATTTACTAGGCAATTATATGCGCCTTCTACGTTACTTTTTTCTGTAATATACAAAAGAAAATGTGATCTTTTTCGGTTTTCAAAGTGGCCACTTCTGAAGATTACTTTTCAGGGCGCTTATTCGAGGCGTATGCTTACTACAGCGAACGCCATATATATCATTCTCATCTGTTCTGAAACTGTTCTCATCCCTTGATGCCCAAATGAAGCTATTACACTTGCTGTAACAATTAAACTGGCTTGTATGTCATGTTTTGATTGAGACTTCACAACCTATGATTAAAGTCTGTTTGATTCTCTGTTATTGCAGGAGTTGGAACATCAGCTGGTACAGGCCCGGGATCATCAGCAACATGAAGTTGTCTCCCTTCAGGATGTACACACAGACAAGATGGCTGTCATTAAGAAGAAGCACAAACAGGAGGTGGCTGACTTCAAGAGACAGATTGTGGCACTTGAGCAGCAGCTGAGTGAAAGTGAGTGATGTAACATTATCTCACTTCGCATGCTTTTTCACTTTACATTGTCAGGCACGACTTCTATCTCACCAAGAAGATGTAAAAATGTGAATCTCAGTGTGGGATGATAATGTTACATATTTTTATTCTCAAAAGTATATGTGTATGTTATGAATCTATCTTTTTGATGGAAAAAAAACCCTAACCATTCAGCCTTAACTCAAGTTAGCCAACTTATTTTGTATATATTTTCTGCAGCTAGCGTACTCAACATGGCATGCATCCATGATTAAATTATTGAAGGGTGTTTTGTTCTGTGCAATTTAGTAGATATTACTGTTGCTATGTTGCAAAGATAGCTTAACTAGACAAAGTAAGGGTCTTTCCCAGTGTCTGTTGTTGAATGATATGATGAAATGTCTGTCAGGTCGGGACAATGACAGTGTGAGGCATGGATCATCCAACCTGCCTGAGGCTGACCGAGCTGGACTCAGCTCTGAGTCTGATGTTCATGAGCTGCGACGTGAGCTGCAAGACCTGCACACACAGCTGTCCAAGGTCAATACGGAGAAGAACAAGGTGAGGGTTCATGTGTGAACAGCAGTAGAGATTATAATAGTTGCTGCTGATATACTACTCTGGCCATGACAGATTAAATACACAGTGGTAGAAACTTTTAGTCAACTAGTCCTTATAATGATAACATACAGCAAAACCCTTCATAAATGGCAATTTTCTTCCAGTCCTTATGATACCTTAACCATTGGGCAGTTTGGCATGGATTACAGGACTAGTGCCAATTTCTAACGCTGAATATAGTAATATGAAAGAATTGGGTGGTCCGTAACTTTTTGTAGTAGTATATTTGGCAATTATAATTGTTGTTGCTGATATTTCATCTTATGTCAGGCCATTATTTTCAAAGTTGGCAAAGTTACGACCCTTTTAGGACAAATGATGGTTCTTTTACTATGATCGACAAACCTATTTAGAGATGTGCAGACTAATCTGTTTATGACACATGGCAGATCGAGACTGCGAAGCGCCACCTGGAGGGAGTGTTGGAGGAACTGCAGACAGAGGTGGGCAAACTACAGGATGAAAGAGACAGCTATGTAGAGAAGATCACCCTCCTGGACTCGACTGTCGCTGACCAGCTGGCCGAGCTCGAGACGCTGAAGCAAGCTGCTGGGGATGACGTTGTACAGTTAAAGCAGGCTCTTGAACGTGAGTCAGCTGTTGCATATTGATCAGAATAGCCTTCAGTGAACTCATGTTTGATTTTTATCATTTATAATTTAGTTAAACAAGCATGTGCATTTTATTGGGGTATAAAGCAAACTTTCTTGAAAAACTGAATCATGTTTGATTTTGGAAATAATTATATAAGTTATATATAAAGATTACTCCTGCTGAAGAGGAAGGGGGTGTTAGATGATAAGTTTGAAAGCAAAGTGAAACCCCCATTGGCTTTGACTTTAAGCATTAAGATATGACTTGAAAAGACTCATTGTTACTTATCATTATTGTATATTTCAGAAGCTCTCTCAGAAAAAAGTTCCCTGGAAAAAGAAGTCGGACAGGTTGGCCTATCTTTGTTTGATGCAAAACAGAGACTCTTGGAGCAACTGGATGCAAACCATGTACTGTCAGCAGGCACTTATCTCCCCTTGGATAGTTGTCTCCCCTTGACTAACTTTGCATGCAACTATGACAGCTGCATCTTACTTTTCTGCATGGAATTAAGTGTACTTGTATATTTCAGCTTTGTTCACTCATTTGACTACTTTCCTTAGGAATGTATCTGAAATTGCAGAAAACTACTGCACCTGTTAAATTCAATCAATTTGGTTCTGTTCCAAGATTTCTTTGTGTAGTAGGGGGCCTATGCTGAAATATGCTTGAAATATATGTAAGGCATTCTTGTGATTGAAACTAATGTTCCTGACTAAAACTTGCAGCAGTACTTCTTGTGTCAGTTTGAACTAATTTTTGACAACAACAACAACAACAAGAAGACGCATGGTTTGCATCTGGATGTGCTTGACAAGAGCCCTGAGTGATGTTGAATGTAGCGATAGCTAGTCTCAGTCTCCAGTGTTATGATGTAGAAGTAAAGATACATCTATGTTGCATGTACATTCTGCCTCACACATGACCTGATACTGCTCTTGCAGCATGTCCGTCTGCACTGTTGATCAGTGAGTTGTCTCCCCTCTTCTGCATGCCATAAATTGACCGCGTCGTTTATACTGAAATTGAATTCGCAAAAACTAAGAAAACAGAGTAATACCTTTGTATTGACTCTTGGAATTCCCTTTATGTTTCAAAATGTGTCTTTGTTTTTGCTTTGGGAGGAAAAACATAATGCACATAAATTACAATTCATTGTTCATGCCTCATAATGTTTAATTTTAATTGTAAATATCACTAGACACATGGTAGAATGAGCCATTTTCCTCATCTCTTTTCATGTAAATCATAACTAAATTGTCTGAACTGCTGATGAAACTTTAATCAATATTTTGTTTGAATTCATCAATGAATGCCCCCGTTCCAGGCTGATGCTTTAGAGGTATTAAGTGACTTGCAGCATGTACGCCACCAGATGGACAATGACAGTGCAGGCAGACGCAACCGTCTGCTGAATGAGAAGCAGAAACTAGCCAATCAGATCTATGTCTTGGGGCAGAAGGTTAGCTACATGCAACAATTGATGCGGATTCGTAAAGCGATTAATATATTAAATCAATGGCACTTATGGCTTAGTCAATCATCATTGCTGTAGGTCTCGAATGGTTAGGCGTCTGCTTGATTCCCAACATGGTTTGATTCTCAATATGGATGCATATTACTATCTTCTCATCCCCTACTTTCAAACAGTTCACACGACATTGCTGATATTTTGAGGGATGAGTGAATCAAACTTAAATTTGTTTTCATATGATGACTTCAACAATAGAATTCAGCTGTATTCTGATAGAAAAATAATCCTTGATAAAAGAGGTGATGTCCTTTGCCTCGTCTATAAACTGCTCGAGTGTCATCACCTGTTTTCGGACACCTGATTGGTTTGGTACTTTAGTGGGGTGGGGCTGTCGGGTAGCCTTGTGGTCAAAGCGTTCGCTCGTCATGCTGAAGACCCGGGTTCGATTCCTGACTTGGGTACAATGTGTAAAGCCCATTTCTGGTGTCCCCCGCCGTGATATTGCTGGAATATTGCTAAAAGCTGCGTGAAACCATACTCACTCACTCAACATACCGGTAATTGTTGCAGGTCGTCATTAAAACTCTAAATGTAATTGAAAGTCTGGAACCTTTTGACAAATCATGAATGTTTGTCAAATTATACTATACACACTATTTTACTCTTCCTTCTCATCATGACATGGGCAATTCTGAATGGAATGTTCTGAATGTGTACAGTACTTCACAGGAACCAAATGTTGACAAGTCAGATGTGTGCACTGTCTAGTCGGCAGCTTTGATGATGTCACACCTCTTGTTATAACAGGAGAAATCATAGTCAATATGGCTGTTTGAAAGCAGGTGTCATTCCAAAACAGGGAATGCTGGAGATGTAATGACAAGTATGAATATGAAATAGAACTGTTGGTCCTGCAGGAGAAGCATGTTAATGTAAAATGTAAGTTTTCATTACTGTGATGTTGCCGTCCACTACTGTATGTCTAATGGCTGTTGATGTGTGCACAGCAAGGGCAGGTGAAGTCTAATCTGGTGGAAGTCAAGTCTCTCAGTACCCACCTGACCACTGAGGCAGCGGCCATTGTGGAGTCTCTCGGCAGTCCCGGTCATCAGCAGGTCACTGCAGGTAATTAATTCATGGCCTTTCAAGTCTGCAGACGATTTCAACTACATTATGTTCCAGTTTTTATCAGTCTTGTCTGAGAGTTTCAATTTTGGGAAAACTATAGCCATCCTAGTGATATGCATGACACAAAATAATTTGTTTGATCATCTGATTATTATTGTACAGGTTTAAGAGTGTACATAACTTCATTTCTGAAGGTTATATCTTTGCATTTGGAGACTAAAACATTAAAACTCATTGCGTCGTGTATTATGCACACTCCCATCTACACAACTGTGTTTCTTGGAAAAAAATGTGTGCTATACTCAAGAAAATGTGTTAGGCAATGTTGGTTGTCTGTTTTATGTCTTTATTTCTTTGATAGTGAGGATTATTTTGCCCATTTCAGAACTAGTTGCATCACTTGAGAAAGAAAACCTGTACCTGAGAGAACAGAATCTGAAGTGCCAAGAACAGATAACTCTGTTGGAGCGAGCAGCAACCACTCAGGCCCAGGAGAGGAGTCGATGTGAAGACACCATCGCCAGGTTGAAGGGGCAGCTGCAAGATGGTCAGTTTCAGTTATCTCCCTTGTTTCACCAGACAAATGCCCATTACCGTATTCTACATAATAAGCGCCCAGGGTGCTCTCAGAATATTAGAATATTATTTTGGTGGAAAAAAACAGAGTTGAAAGATAGATTTCGTGGTCTATGCTGTCAGCCTGAACTGTTTATATACGACATATATATTTTTCCAGAATTTAATTGCTTATAATTAAGGGTACATATAACACACGAGTGCGTATTATACACGAATAAATAAGTCTTGTGCATATTGATCAATCCGAAGGGGGGCTAATTGGGATTATTCACTTGCCAATATACTAGCAAATATGGCCGTGGGCGCTTATTAGAGTGGGGCGCTTATTACGTCGAATACGGTATTTAAAAAATAACTGTGATTCAGTTTTATAAGGATAGTGTATGAGGATAAATTAATTGAGGACGTTCCATTTGCAGATGTGATATCTTGCCCCTTTTTTTCTAGATGTGGATGAATCCAGTTCTGTATCCACCCTGAACGACAGTCTCTCCACGGGCAGTGTTAGGTGAGACATTTATACAACTGTGTTGATTCTCAGGTATTCCTGCATATGTTAAGCTTCCTGGCAAAGCCGTATTTAATTTTGGCTTCATGTCAATAATAGATTCATGTGAAAATAGTTGACGGACTCATCCACATTAAAGTAAGCTTGGTTGCATAATTCATTATTGCAGATATTAACTGTTAGATAAACAACTGTTTGTTTTTCTCGAGCTTTAATTCTACTTCTTTGTCTTCATATTCCCATCTTTGTTCACATTATACACCCCACCTAATAACAGCATGCATACTACTCAAAACAAGTTAAAGAACACCTGCAAATTGGAAGGCTGGGATACCCACCAGCCATGACAGATGAACTTTAATCTTTTGAAACAATTGGGTGTTCTTAACTTCTTTTGAGTAGTATATTAACAGTATTCTATCAGCTTTGATTTTTATTTGAGTAAACCCCATGCAAAGACTGTAGGTGAATCTGTAATGAATTTCATAGCAATGCAATCTCATTTTATCGTTTGGTTTGAATGAATTGTGGGAAATTATTTTTGTTTTGCTTATAAAAACTTGCATGCATGCCCGTTCCTGATGTGATATACAATATAACCAGTGGATGTTATCATCTGGCTTCCTATACCCACTGCATATGGTGATGGTGTTCAATATTATTACACAGGACAGTTGATGGCAGCGACATATCTGAACTCTCACGCAGGAATCGTGAACTTGACCTCAAGGTGGAACAGCTCCAGACAGAGGTCGACAAATACAAGACAGACATCGATCAGTTTGAATTTGTGAAATCTGATTGGCAGCTGGAGAAAGAATCTCTTGAAGAAGTTTTACTACAGCTGCGGAAACAGCTTCAGGAAAAGGAGATGGAACTGAACATCGCACTTGCACAGAAGGTGATTGTTGTTAGTGGTGTGAGTGAGAGAGTTGGTTTTTTTATGCCCCTTTGAACAGTGTTCTAGTTATATCACGGCGTGTCAGCTTAAAGTGGGTGGGAAGCCGAAGTCGGGCAGGTCCCAAATGTTTACCACTTTGATGAAACCCACGAGCTTGGTTATGGTGCTCACAAACCAAGGAACATAATCGGGGCGAACCAGGATTCGAACCCTCAATGATATTTTTCTGGCATGCCCAAAGGATGCCACTCTGCACAGGTAATTGCTGTGCCTTAGATGACTGGACCACCTGCTCCCGAGTTAGTGCTGTGATTTATATCTTGGTTGATTTAGCTGTAAACCGGTAAAAAATATACTGCCTCTGTAATAGTTTTATTTGTTTGCAAGAATGATGCGAGACATGGGGTCAGGGAAAAGTGTGCATTTCAAATCAGTATTTGAAATTAAGGTGAGTCTTGGGAACCTTGAAGTTTTGCCCTATGGTATTTCAATGTAGGGTCCCCTCAATGTCTACCATTCAACATTTATAGTGTAACAACAAGGACCCTTCACTTTCGTGCCCATAACACTGACAATATCTGAGCATCATTAGAATTGTTCATTCATTTGAACTGTTTATATGCCAGGGTCTTGCTGAGGTGAAACGTCAGGAGAAGAAATCCCAGGCAGTAGAGAGGACTCAGGTAATTATCAAATATCTAACCTATTCCCCCTAGGATTGCTATGGAATAACAAGTCTTTCATAATTCATGAGAATGGAAATAGACAAGTAATCATCCAAGGATCAACTTAATTATACCTTTAGCCACTAGAAGTGAAACCTCAACAGGAAAAAATATTGTTGGAAATGAGGGTTCATGCGTGTTTATGGACCAGTGAGGACAGGATGACGATGTAACTTTGCTTGATCAACTGCCTGCTGCTTTTGTTGACAGCTGTATGCTCATTACAGAAAATCAGCTCTTTTTGTGGTCGTGTGCAGAGATGAATGTAATGAATATTATGAGTTGTCAATTCCATCATATAGATTTTCAGCTCTTTCAGAATAAGGAGTGACACTACATTTCCCCTGAAACCTGAGCCATTGTATCTAATTGCTGTGTTTGGACTTTCAGACAGGAGAAGTGGTCGAGGAGACAATTGTGGCAGAACACCAAGATCTTCTGCAGACAGGGGAGACAACTCTAGAGGCCGACATTGAGACCTTTGCTGCCCAGGCTCAAAAACTGAGTGATGCCAATCTGCAGCTGGAGGAGGAGCGAGATCAGCTGGAGGCTGACAAGGTGAGATCCTGCCCATGGCTCTTTGCATCCATCATGCACCATTTTACGTACTACCGTATTCAACGTAATAAGCGCCCGCGGCGCTCTCAAAATTAGAAATAGGGGGCTCTTGTTAGAATATAATTCGAAAGAATGTAAATTTTGTAGTTTATGCTGACAGCCTGAAAGGATACAAAAGAAAAGTATGTTCATATCATACACGACAGATATATATTCCAGAATTTAATTGCCCATAATTAAGGGTGCATTTAACACACGATTGCGCATTATACACGAATAAACAAGTCTTGTTTACATTGATCAATCGGAAGGGGTGCTAATTGGGATAGTTCACTCGCCAATATGTTAGCAAATATCACCATGGACGCTTATTAGAGCGGGGTGTTTTATTACGTCAAATATAATATTTGTACCTCATGATTCTCAGTATGTACACTAATGACAGGCTGTGCTCTTCCAAAATTGGCATTACCAGTAAATCTGAAGATGGAAGTGACTTTGTCTATGATTTATTTCTGGGAATTTTTCTTGTTATGAGATAGGATAAATTCTTTCAAAGAACAGTCAGCCAGACTGACACTTTGGATTGCTGTTAAAGGTGTTTGGACAAAGTTTGCTTATTATGTCCAAGTAGGATCTCCTCGTTTCTGTGTTTCATAAACGCTGCTTATATTGTTATTGTCAATCTTGTCATTGTTTTGCAGGTTGCACTTGAAGAAAAGATTAAACGTTTAGAAAACAATGTATCCACATTGGAGAAGTCACTACAAAGTGAAAAACAAGGTAAGACTATTTAGCGTCCATCGGGATTCTGGGTTAGAAGAAGTTCCCAGTAAGCTATGTTTGTCGTAAGAGGGGACTAAATTGATGGGTTGGTCAGGCTCCGTGATTTCGTTGATTACTTGTCATTGCACCCCAATGGCAAGTGTTACTGGTTTGTCTGTTTAATTATATGCTGGTCACTGCTATATTGCTAGAATATTGTAATTATGACGTTGAATAACAAACAAACAAATCCGGGTCTAGTTCCATGAAGCTGTCTTAGCGCTACAATTGTTGTAAGTCTATTTTAAACTATCGGAGTTACAAACGTCTGCGCTAAGACCCCATTTTGAAGTGGTACCAGAAGCTTGTAGTAAGTTATCATGTTGAAACATGTATATGTTATGTATATCAGTTTTGATTGGTTGTCCTAACATCAGTTTGACCTTGTGTTGTAGCATCTCCCCAGCAGCAGCAGCAGCAGCAGCTGGAACAGAGAGTCCAGCAGCATGAGGTGGAGATGAAAGCCATGGAACAGGAGAAGCTGGACTTGGAGTCCAGTCTGGAGGAGCTGGACCAGCAGCATCAACAGGCCATGGACAAACTCATCAGCATACGGGACGACCTCTCACAGCAGGTCGACACCCTTAACACCAGTCTTTCCCAGAAAGATACAGAGATTGTCAACCTCACTGAAGAACTGGATAAGTCCCGGGCTCAGATTGAGGAAGCTGCTTCATCATCAAAGGACCTGACTGATGCTGCTGAAGGACCGGATGAGGCTCTGGTTGAGGAGCTTCAGGCTAAACTGGAGAAGATGGAGTCTGATAAAGCGAAGGAGATTCAAGATTTGAAGGAGAAGTGTCAGAATGCTGCAGTGGCAGTGAATGATCTACATATGGACAAGCGCGAGCTCCAGGAGGAGCTTGGGAGAGTGAAACAGGAGATTACAGGGAAGGTGGCCAAGTTGAAGGAGATGAGGGAGGACCACACCCGCCTAGTAGAGGAGAACAAGGACCTCAGGGAGAGACTGCAAGAAGCTGAGGACGAGATTGAGGACTGGCAGGAGAGGAACGAACAAACTCAGGTACACAACTCCCAGAAGGAGGCGGTGAGTAAAGAGATGGAGGAATTGCAAAATGAAATCTCTGAACTGAGATCAAAACTTGATGAGTATTATACTGCCTGTGAGCATGAAAAGACTAGATGTTCTCAGCTTTTGGCTGAGAATCGGAGATTGTCTGTTCAAACTGAGCAGTTTGAAGTTCAAAAGCAAGAAAGTACTCGGCAGGCATCACAACCTCTGCACGACAGAATCTCTGTGTTGGAGACTCAGTTTGATGCTGTGAACTTAGACAAGGTAAATCTTGAGAAGGAGATTAGTCAGTTAGAGGACAAACTACATGCTCAGACTAAACATTATGAGAGTTACATCCAGGAACTGCAGAACAGCCAAGACAAGGATGCCACAGCGTTACAGCAAGACCATCAGGCCATGATGCAGACTTGTCATGAGAAGGAGCTTGCAATCAGTGATCTGCAGTCTCAGATTAACTCTTTAAAATCAGAACTGGACATGACTAAAGAAACCATGCAGACGTCTGTCGACAGCCAGTTGCAGCTGACTTCTATTTTGAAAGAGAAAGATGTTGAAATTTCTTCACTGAAGTCTGCAAATATTGAGCTAAATTCGGAGTATGAGGAGTTGTGTGCCCATCTGAAGGAGCAGGAGGTCCTCATGGAAAGCATGAAAGGTATGGAGAAACTCCTTGCTGATTCGAAGGAGGAGATTCAGAGATTGAGGACAGAGATTGAGGTGAATAAGATGAACATGGAACAACAGAAGCCTGATGATATGGATCAGCAGAAGACGCTGGAGATAATCACTGAGCTGGAGAAAGAGCTTGCTTATTGTAAAGACAAAATATTTAGGTTAGAGGAAACTGTCCACAGTCAGGAGTCCCTGATTAATGACCACAAGGCAGGAATTACTCAGTTAAATGAAAAACATGAGGGGTATATTAGGGAAATCGAAGAAGAAAGAATAAAGCTTGCAAGACAGGATGATTTAATTTTAATTCTACAAGAGAAATCTGCAGACAAGGATGAAGAAATTGCAGATTTGAAATACAAGTTGACACGAGCTTCATCCCTTGTGGATGCTAAAAAGCTGCAATTACTCAATGAAGAAGATTCTCAGCCAGGCCTCCCTGCTCTTGAATATCCAGAGAAGGCAGCAATAGAATACACTTCACCGTCAAGGAAGTGGGATGAAGAAGAATTTGTTGATCAGGATGATTTTGATGGTGACACATCCAACAAGATTGAGATGATTTCAAAAGAGATCGGTGAACTTCAGCTTCGCCTGCAAGAGAAGGATCTAGTGATTCAGGAACTTCAGAGCAATAATGCCTCATTGCTAACAATGCTGGAGGCCAAGTCCCTGACGTCACATGGGGATAAGTCTCTCGTCAGTGTGCATAAGCTGGAGAATGAGGTCAAGGCCTTGAAGATGGAGCGAGAACAGATTATGGCAGTGATGACCGAGAAGTCCCGAGAATCAAGTTCCCTGAAAGCTGAGGTGCATCGGTTGATGAGTGTTGTGACTGCCGAGAAGAGCGCCCTGAACAAGCTGCAGGAGGACAACCACCAGCTTCAGAACAGGGAGAATCCTGTGGATGACATGCAGAGGGAGGCATTGCAGAACTTGTCTCGTCTCGTTCGCGATCGGGAAATGGAGATTGAGGCACTGAAACAGAAAAATGACACACTTCTGGCTGTGCTGCAAGACTCTTCTCAGGAAACACAAGGGACACAGATCAATTCTCTTCTCCAGGACAAGGATAATCTAAGTAGGCAGATGATGACATTTCAGGCTGAGCGAGAACAGATGATCACCTACCTCAACCAGAAACATCAGGAGAGTGTGACGTATCATAATGAGATTCAGAGACTTACTGCGTTAGTGTCCACACAGACGGAACAGTTTGAAGCTCTAAATCGCAACTATACTAATCTTGTTCCTCAGTTTGAAGACAAAACTCAGACTCTGCTTAAAACTCAAAATGAACTATTAAATTATAAACAGAAATATAACGAATTAGAAGTTAAGTATGGTGAGTTGTTGGGAAGGTCTAACATGAGTGAAACGGTTGACATGGCAACGTATAATACCAAGATGGTGGAACTCCAGAAATGTCAGGACAGGTTATCAGAACTACAGCAGGAAATAAATGATCGAGACCTGAAGATTCAAGGATTGTCTTCGAGGATTCATGAACTGGAAAGTGTTGTGTCAAGTAAAGAAGCTGAGAGGACTAGTTTTAAAAAGCAGGCTGATAATTTAACATTTCAGCTTCAGGGTTTACAAACAGAACTCCAAGACTTCAGAACTGAAAGTGTATCCACAAAGCAGAAATCCTCCGAAATAGATTCAGAACTTCAGGTGTTGAAAGATTCCAATAATCAGCTGACTTTGTCCCTGAGAGAGAAGGAGTTTGAGTTGACGAGTCTGCGTGAGAAGACGGGGACATTGACGACGCTGCTACAGCAGCAGCAGGGTGAGCAGGGGCAGGTGGATCACCTTGTCCAGGAGAACGCCTCACTGCATCAGCAGACGGTTCAGTACCAGCAGGAGAGGGACCAGGCCATCATGGCTCTCCGACAGAAACACACGGATGTGGAGGAGCTGAATAAAGAGGTGAGACTTTGGCATAGGAAAGAGCGAGTCAGTTGGGTTTAACGCCGCTTTGAACAGTATTCCTGTTATATCGCAGCGTGTCAGTTGGGGGGACAGTCCAAAGTGATGCAGGTCTCAGATGTTTACCACTTTGGTGAAACACACAAGCACAGGTGTGGTGCTGACAAGCCTAGAAATATAATCAGGGAGAACTCGGTTTCAAACACACGATAGTAGGTTTTTGACATGCCCAAGAGGTGCAACTCTGCGTTGCGAATTGTGGCGTCTTAGATGACTAGGCCATCCGTACCCCTGCATAGGAAGGATTGGTGCATGAGACCTACTGGAGAATGACAAGAAGATTCAGAATGAACATAAGATATTTTTATTAATTATTTTCATGGTAATCAATCTTTTGGTGTTTTAGCCTCAGTATAATTCAGAAATATGTTTTGGAGATACTTGAGATAGACTTAGTACCGGTAAAGGTCACTGATTCATTTGCTGATCATTATTTGTCCAGTGTTTAGCTTGCAAATGAAAAGGAATCTGATTGTCTATATCTGTGTTGCAGATTGCCCGTCTGAAGGAGAAAGAAATGAAACTGAGTCGGGAACTGGAGAGACTGAGACAGCACTTGCTTCAGGTATACACTTGGGCAATACTGGGCCTGATCCCACATGGGTACAATCTCAAGCCTATTCAGGATGTCACACTCACATTTTACTAAGTGTGCAGCTAATTATACTACTATTAAAATGTTAAGGACCCCTGATTCTTTTATTTTACTATAGTTACTCTGTCATGGCATGTTTTGTTGAGGGGGCGGTCGGGTAGCCTAATGGTTGAAGCGTTCGCTCATTACGCCGAAGACCCGGGTTCGATTCCCGACATGGGTACAATGTGTGAAGCCCATTTCTGGTGTCCCCTGACGTGATATTGCTAGAATATTGCTAAAAACGGCTTAAAACCATACTCACTCACTGTTTTGTTGATTAGTATAGTTCATATCTGCATTTGGTTGTTCAAGTTGGATCCAAGAAATATGTTTTCCAATATGTGGTATTTATTGCAGATTGAGGAGGGCTACACTGGTGAGGCTCTGGAGGCCGAGGAGAGGGAGAAGGAGTTGAGGAACAGGCTCGCTGTGGCCGAGGAGAAGATCCTCTCATCCAGCTCTGCAGTGCAGAATGCCAGGTGAGACATTCCTAGAGAGACACACGCATGTAATTAGCTATTAAACCTGGAGTCCCCAAGGGGTTTGTACGGTCGGGTAGCCTAATGGTTAAAGCGTTCGCTCATCACGCCGAAGACCCAAATTTGATTCCCGACATGGGTACAATGTGTGAAGCCCATTTCTGGTGTCCCCCGCCATGATATTGCTGGAATATTGCTAAAAGCGGCGTAAAACCATACTCACTCACCCCAGCTACCTGTGCTGGTTGTGAAAGGTGACTGAATGAATCAGGTGGTCAGGCCAAGTGGCTTGGTTGATTATGTGTCATTGCACCCCAACATGTGCTCATCATGTCAACCACTGGTTTGTCTAGTTCAGACTTGCATAGGGGGCTCGGGTAGCTCAGTTGTCTAAGGCAGCGCAATTTGCTGTGCAGAGTTGCATCCATTGGCTATGCCAGAAACCTATGATTGTGGGTTGTTCGAATAGGTTTGCTCGATAATATTTCTAGGTTTGTCATCACTTCCTCTGACGATAAGCTGACACGCCATGATATAACTGGAATATTGTTAAAAGCGGTGCAAAACCAAACTCACTCACTCACTCACTCACTCACTCACTCAGACTTGATTATTTATAGGCTTCATCATTCAGTTTTGATATTGCTGAGTGCAGTGTTAAACAACAAACTATAATTTGGCCATTTTTCACAAATCTTACAAAAGATGAAGATGATTATTGACTTTCCTTCTTGACTATATGAATCTACCATCTTGTCCATCTGCAGCCAAGCAGCCAGCGAGCAGGTGGAGACCTTGCAGCACCAGCTGCACGGGGTGACCAGTCAGCGGGACGCAGCCTACATGCAGATGACGGCCATGCAGGACCAGTGCCAGCAGTATGCCGCCTCCCTCGGCAACCTCCAGATGGTGCTTGAACAGTTCCAGCAGGGTGGGTAACTCTCTCATTTAAGGACCTGTGAAGATTCCGGGGTAGAATAGGTCTTCAGAAACCCATGCTTGCCATAAAATCCGACTATGCTTGTCGTAAAAGGCGACTAACGGGATCGGGTGGTCAGGCTCGCTGACTTGGTTGATGCATGTCATCGATCCCAATTGCGTGGACCGATGCTCATGATGTCAATCACTGGATTGTCTGGTCCAGATTCGATTATTTACAGACCGCAGTCATATAGCTGGAATATTGCTGAGTGTGGCGTTAAACAACAAACCAACCAACTCTCATTTAAGGGTGGTACAAGGGTTCTTGCTCTCCCATCACAGGGTGGTACAAGGGGTCTTGTTATGCTTCATAATGATACCCTAGTGTAGGATATTTGTAGCTTCTTGTTTTGAATCAGTGTGGCACTGTTGTATAACATCTATACATTTTGCAGATAAAGATGCTCAGATCGCTGCAGACACTGAAAGGTACCAGGATGAGATAAAACTCCTGAAGGACAAGCTCAACACCCTGCAGAGAGCACTTGACACTACAAAGGTATGTGATGCTCAGTCCACAGGTGGGCGGTCGGGTAGCCTCGTGGTTAAAGCGTTCGCTCGTCACGCCGAAGACACGGGTTCGATTCCCGACATGGGTACAATGTGTGAAGCCCATTTCTGGTGTCCCCCGCCGTGATATTGCTGGAATATTGCTAAAAGCGGCGTAAAACCACACTCACTCACTCACTCAGTCCACAGGTCTTGATATTATGAGCAATGTCCCATGCTGTCGGTGTCAGATGACATGACGTCAACAACATCACATGCCCCCCATACCAGTTTAGTCTCTTATGAGGTATACTACTTACAATGTAGATTTCATGGGACCAATCCTACCCTCGAAGCCCAAGTGGCTTCATCTGGAGAAAATAGATACACTACTTGTATTAGTAATGATGACAGAGCACACTCTTTTCTCTTTTACCCAAAGTGATATCATATTTATGGAAAAAAACACCACTCCGCTACCTTTTATACTGTAAGTCTCACTTGATAGTTTTTGTCCCACCTAATACATACCTGTCAACTCTCATGCATCTCGTGTGAGTCTCACGCATTTATCACCTATGTCACGCTCACACGCTCACAAGCAAGGTTGGGAAATTTTCACGCATTCATATAAAATGTAGATAAAAATAAAATTTGCGCCTCCCCACCAGGGCTTAGCCCTGGCTTCTCACGCATTTAGACATCCAGGGGTTGACAGCTATGCTAATATGTCCTCTGCTCTCATGTACTATCTGCCTTACAACTATTACAGACGGAGCTGGAGGAGGCCTCAGATGGACTGGAGGCAGCATCTCGTCTCAGTGAACAGCTGGACAAGAAGGAAGAGGCTGTAGCTGCGTTGAAGGAGGAAGGTAGGTGTTGGATGTTCTCTCCAGTTTCTGGTGGCTCTATCCTCTCCTTGTCTCTAACATCAACTGTGCTCCTTCACTAACCATGTCACGACTGCTGTTCAGTGTCTTAATTTACAACCAAACTGACCTAATAATAATGTTTGTGAAATGATATAGACATACGTTTTGATATGAGATATGATTAAAAAGAATCCTTTTGGAGTAACTAATGTTAAAAAGTCAAGGGGAAATATAAAAAATCTAACTTTTAACTTGACACCATGACAAGAACCATGGGCCTGTTCCACAAAGGGATCTTAACGCTAAGGTGATCGTTACTCCCGTACTGTTTACTTAGGCGACGATCATCGTAGCACTAAGATCGCTTTTCAGGAACGAGGCCCTTTACTTTAATTCTATATTTCAATCACCGTTATGAGATTGATAATTCCATGAGAGAATAGAAAAGTGTTCGTTACTTTTTCAAATCAGTTGTTGCAGCAGCAGTTTAGTATTGTGAATCTGTTGTTACTGAATGAGCACTACATTTGTATAACACTAAGTACGTGTTACGTGTTACACTGACTGGATACTGCATGGGTATGTTGTGTATGTGACCCTGCATGTGACCCCGCATGAGCTGTGCACTGGGTGGTATAACATCAACTAGCATGGGGCTACACAACAGAGTGTTCATGGTACTGGCTTAGATCATGACACTAACACTGACAAAAAGCTGGACTGGGTGTTCAACCATTGGATTCAAGGAGCTGGTGTTTCTTGTTGATAAAATCGAAGCTTCCAGCATCCCACCTTTTTGGATTTTTGTCCCTCGGGAATCTATTTAATCTCAGCTGGTAATTCCGAGTCTCTCATTTCTCGAGCGCCTGGCTGGGGTGGGATAGATATCCTGGCTTCACAACATTTAATTGCTTTTACTCACTTGTTTCATTCCTCTCATTATTTTCTTATGCTCATTTTTCAACCTTTTTTGAGTTGCTAACTGCCCTGTTTGGTGCTTCCTGTGTGACAGAGCTATTTTTAGATTTGCTTCTCACAAAGTTGTTTGGCTTTAACTTTTTGAAATTGCACACAGCAGTGTTTCCTTTTTACAATTTTTAAATCAAGATTTGCTTGCTTTGAGTGTGCACAGAAAATTTTGCAATTTCTGGGTTTGGGGTGATTCCTTCAAATTTTACGAGTAGTTTTTCTTGGAGAAGATTACAGATTTTGCCATTCTAAGCCTGGTTTCTTAATATCAGCTGGTAATCCTGAGAGATCCACGCCTCAGGATGCTGACTGATATATGGCAAACGGGTACTTGTATTCCTCGTCACAACGGGCAGATAGCGCCTCTACGTATCATCTCATTGAATGTCTATCATTGTTCATCCATAATGTGTTCAGTTGTTAATCAGGAGTAGTGTCATTGCAGCATTTATGTTTTATTAGGCAAACATCACATTCAATCTCGTAGGCTTATACTGGAGACTGATTTGAAATATTGTTTTGAAATTATAATCTAAATGATTGAAATTTGTCCGATTTAAACAAATCTAAATCTGTAGGAACTTTGGCCCAGTAGACAAAATTTGTGCATGTTTTATGCTCGAATGAAAGGGCTTGCATGTGTTGATGTTTGTCTAATCTCAGCTGGTAATTCTGAGTAAAAAGGAGGCCTCAAGTTACTAGCCGAGATTACATAAATATCTTACCGAACAGCATGGACTAACCTATCCTAACAACTGACCAATCAGCATGGCCGAGACAAAATGCTGCAGTCTTGTGGAGGGAACCATCTGGCAGAGACGCATGTTGTCATTGGTTGGTGTAAAATAACACAGCTGATTGATTGAGCTTTAGGAACAGCATGTATTTCTTCATCACGATTGTACTGCATTTGTATGAAGTAGACATTTGTGAGCTTGACCTGTGTCGATGCTCGGACCTGAATATCATTACAAGACTGCATGAGAAATGGAGTGAGTTAGGACGTGCGAGATAACGTCCCGGGTTGTCCACAACATGCATGAACGCTATGTTGTAAGTATGTTTTCAACTGTGTGGTGCTTGGTGGCTGGATACACTAACAGGGTTAGCCTAACAGGTTACTGTAGTGCCCGACTAACATACACCTATCGGCAATAACCAAATATCTATGTGTGTAAACTATTTGACTACTTATGTATAACTGGCATTTTTAGTTAGGTGTGAGCCATAACGCTGATGTAATCCTGTGTAATTATGTAGATATTGGTTGTGATGGTAACTGTAGGAATATAACACCAATTTTAGTAATTTGGATGGATGCAGGAAGGGAATTTTGGTGAATTGCAGTAACAATTTCATTGGAATATATGTTGCCATGGTAATAATATTGATCCATATGATTGTAACATGAAAAGTGAGAACAGTTATCATGTGTGAAAATATTGTGATTGTCCATTGTGTGAAAATGGCATTGTCTTCATATGCTTGTTAGAACCATCCCTGAAGTCCGACTTTCTGTGTACACCATAGTCGATGCAGTAGATCATTCCAGTCTAACACTAGCACCTCTCCAGTGTAGCCACTGGTCGTAGAAACAGCTTTATCACAGCAAGTCAAGATGGCCGCCGCCGCCACAGTGTGTTGTCTGGCCTGGTCACCGCATGAGCTAAGTTGGATGTACAAACCATGAGTATTACATCAGGTACTGAAGGGATGAGTGTCAGTACCTTTTGTGATATTCGTAGTTTGTATGTCAGCAGCAGCAGCACCGTGTTCACATTGTGTAGATGTAGTTGTTCTACTCAGCATGGAGAATTACCTCCCTTGGCGACCACACGATCCTGGTTGTCTAGTGCCTGCCTGCCTGCCTCCTCCCTTCCCTAGCCCACCAGACGATCCTTGGTTGGCTAATTTATTGCCTTCTGTGTTTTATTGCTTGTTTTCTCACTGTTTGTTATGTTAATTATTTGCATGTTTCTAGTTTGTTTTTTTATTACTGATATCGTTTTGTAAAGCACTTAATGAATAATTTGCTATGGAATAATAATGTGTGAAATTGCTAATCATTGAAGCTTCATTGAGCTGTTGTTGTTACCTGTTGACACGTCACTTCCTGTTTACAGTCCTGCTGCGAGAGAAGACTCTGAAGGCAGCCGAGGAGGAAGTCAGGAAGCTGACCACAAGCACTGAGGCCAAGGTTGACAAGTGAGTGGTCACATTTAGTCAGTGACGCATTTGTATAGTTTTGCAAAAATGATCTAACCTTTGGAGACCTGCAGTTGTGTATTTTCTATCTATTTCTAAAAGGACGACATATATTGTGTTGAGACCTGTGCCTCCAAGTTGTCCTCATTCTTAGAGTCTTACTTGGTTTCTTTGGAAATATTTTTAAAAAATCCAACACACATATTTCCTAGTCTGTATGATATGGGTAGAGGGACACGGGTGACTCAGACATATGAGGTTCCTGGAATTTGCTGCAAAGAGTTACGTCCCTTAGACATGCCATAAACCTATGATTGTGGGTTCAAATCCCAGATTCACCCTGATTGCTCCTAGGTTTGTCAGAATGATATTCATACTTGTGGGTTTCACCAAACTGCATCACTGATGGCGTCCTCCCACATCAAGCTGACACACTGTGATATAACTGAAATACTGTTGAAACTCAACTCATTCACTATATAACATAGAGGGACTGTTGGTGTATGTTGTATCACTTATTTATCCTTTCTGCTGTGTCATGTATGAGTTATGATTTTCCTCTCATGTCCTGTTTATTTTGTGGTCAGGTTGTTGATGAAGAACATGCTGATTGGCTATTTCCAAACTCCGACTGGTCGCCGGAATGAGGTCATTCATATGATGGGTGGGGTCCTCAACTTCCAACTTGACGACTACGCCAAGGTAACGAGAACATTTCATTTGAAGATAATAATAGGACTACCAGTACTACACAGACCGCTTCCTGTGAATGAGATCTGAAGATCATTTTGCCCAGTAATCATTCCTGTCAAGGCACTGCCAAACTACTAGTGGTGGCACGATATACGGCGGATTGCGATTTTTTACTTCTCGATACAAGTATCGATCACAGTCACACACTAAGTAAAAAGTATCGATTCTACCTTAAATGTTTTCTCGAATAAGTGTTACACCAGACACTAATTGCTAGTGAAAATAAGAAGTAAAAATGTAAATATTTTCATCCACTGTGCCTTACCTGACACTGCCAACTGTTAATCATTAGTGTGCCAGGTATTTGGCAATCCTGTCTATGAAAAAGATGGCTTTTGCGCCACAGATAAGTGCACATGCGAGTATAGCGATATGTATCGGATTGTGCGCAAGGTTTCGTGATACGTATCGGATCGCACAGTTGGTGTATCGTCCCAGCCCTAGAGCTACATCAGTAAACTATTCAGCCCAATAAACACCACACTTGAAAAATGCTCCCAATCCAGAGCTCACTGGAACGAATATTGTATTTCCAACATTTCCACATGCCATGTCCTACAAATGTTCATTATTCAATGGAACAATAATGAACATGTTTAATCATGATGATGATGATGTTGTAGATTTAACGATTGCTGCCGATTTCGCACACATGTTTAAATGAGGTTGTGTATTTATCAGTGTTAACTATGCTTTCATGAACACAAAACTAGGAATCAGTGCATCCCACTGTAATGAATGTATTGTAAGTGTTGACATTCTGTTCCCCAGATTAATCAGACGCAGACCAGCTGGGTAGCAGGATTCCTCCGGTTTGGGTCCCCTCGGGCGGGCCCCACCCCACCGACCACACCTGTATATGCAGGGAGGAGGGCACCTTCACTGGACCAGGTGAGCCATTGGTAGTCCTGGAGGAACTTCTGGTTGTAGCTATACATAATGGGTTGCTCATTGGTGGTAAACTGTCAGGCAGACTTCGCGATTAACGTAGCTAAGTGGTTACGACATTCCCTCATCATATCAGGGGCGGTCGGGTAGCCTAGAGGTTAAAGCGTTCGCTCGTCACGCCGAAGACCCGGGTTCGATTCCCGACATGGGTACAATGTGTGAAGCCCATTTCTGGTGTCCCCCGCCGTGATATTGCTGGAATATTGCTAAAAGCGGCGTAAAACCATACTCAGTCAGTCAGTCATCATATCAAGGACACTGGTTTAATACTACTCAAGTACAGTGTATGAAGCTGATACATTGCTGAAGTATTGCTGAGATATTTCTCAAGTATTGTTGAAGTATTGCTAAAAGCTGCGTGAGACATCACTAATTCAAGTTGATAGGAAGTAACTGTTGTTTTTATGAACTATATTTTCATATCTAAAGAATGATGAGTGTCATAGTGTTACAAGTGTAGTGATCATTTACGACAGTGTAGCATGGTCACTCAAGAAAAACATGAATATCACCTCCTCATTGTCCTGGTGTAACATTGTCCTGTATGGCTGGAAGATAGGCTTCAAATTATATATAGTTTGTAGGAGTTTATAAACAAAAAAGGATGTTGTAACATTTAAAAACAATCATTTTTGTCGTTTTCAGTCTTTCTCCCAACTGTTTGTGAAGTTCCTTGAGAAGGAGTCCTCTCCTCCCCCACCCCCAGTCCGAATGCCGGCGGAGAAGATGGCCCAGGAGGTGAAGGACAAGCACAAGGAGAGCCAGAAGCCTGTGTTCAACCCATTCACCGCCCCCAGACATGTCTCCATGCCCCTGCAGCTAGGGGAACAGACCGCTACCACCAAACCCCACATCCTCATGGGGCCCATGTCTCCTGTCACACAGACCAATCCACTTATGGCACCAATGTCTGGAGAGTCTCTCAGTCAGCCAGGCTCCGGCAGGTCCACGCCACAGAACTCCAGTGCAATTCTTAAAGATGTACTCGGCACAAGATGATAATAGATTAATTAGTGTATTGTTCATATACTACTCAAAAGACGTTAAGGATGATCCAGATTGACGATAGTAATAAGAACCGGGTGGTCCTTAACTTCTTTGAGTAGTATAAGTATTCCTGTCAAGTCATGAGATGATGTCGACACAAAGAAATAGACTTAACCATGCATCCACATAAGACTAATCTTTACAGCTTTATCATTATGACAGTGAAAGCACCATTTTCCTATTTTATATAGAATAATGTTGCATTTTGTGTGTAAACAAGACATACTAGGACCAAATGATGTCATAACTTTGAATTGTTAGAACATATATATTTTTTTTGTCCACAGTTTATTAGAACTGGTTGGTTGTTGTACAGTTTGGTAGAGACATAAAAGCCCATACATCGTTTCACTCCATTCTGGCAGACCAGTAGCTGTGTTGAAACCTGATGAAGGAATTAGAGTGAAGTTGTTGTTCATTGACAGTACTTCCCCTTTAATACTGTGAGGATATTTCCGTCATTGAGTTTAGTTGATCCACATTTTTAAACAGTATCCATGATCCCTGCAGTGGCTCCACACTATGCAACACATGTAGTTTTTAAGTATTTGTTTTAGAATTTACAATTGTTAATGTTCTCAGTATTTTATTAGCTGAATGTACAGGGCTCTTGAATAACTGCATTAAGTTTCAAATTATTGGCATCTGGTAGAGTATTGAGGTGTGTAATGGTTGAGTGGGATTGGGCCTTGGAACATTGGCATGTACAGTCTTAAGTTAATACCCTCATTGTAAGTATCCACTGAATCGTGTGTATATATTGTACAAATCTAATATATGTATGCAGCACTAACCACCATATATGGGGTGTCATTGTACAGGCGTTCACAATATTGGCGTTCATTTACAAGATTCTCTTTGGTAACATTTCAGTGGGGTTATGTTATAAATGCAACTGGATTTGTTTGTTTTCGTAAACATGATTATCATAACATTTTAGGGAGTAGGTTTAAATAAGTGCATGGCATTTGGGTACTAGTCACCAGGACCGACAAGCACAACGTGAACCTGTGGCACGACTATTTTACGATTGTACCATTTACAACACTTTCTGCACGAAGATCATGTGTGCAAGTGGGTCGAGAGAAGTTAACTGATTAAACTTGGTATGATTATATGAGAGTCTTTCATTGCAGCGTAGTGGTTTCCATAATGAGCATCAGATACATAGACCTTACATGTTTGTAATCAGTTAAGATTTCATGTGATGTCATGTGCTTGATGGGTGATGAAGAGGAAATAAACATATTTTCCTACAGTGCTACTGACTTGTGTTTCTATGAATCCAATACAGTTGGGGGCACTTGGCCCAGTGGTCAGAGGTCATTCCTTGTACTTGGGTCCAGTAGTTGTGTCAGGTGATGTGTTATGGGGTCGCTTTCAAGATTATTGCACTTACATGGCGACGGTGTGTGCATGCATGCTTCCTTGTACTAGTCTGGACTATGCCCATTTTATAGTGCCAGCCACTGAGATACCCACTCAGACACTATACTGACTCTAGGCCGACCAGTCCTTGTCATGACCCCTTCATGATGAGCACTATCTTTTAACGTCTTTTGATACGACGCGGCCGCGAATCGAACCCCCGACCGTCTGCTCTCCGGGCAGACATTCTACCTCTAGACCACGGAGGTTGTTCCTAGCTCAGGATCTGCTGTTTGAATAGATCATTTGCCCTGATTATGATCCTTGGTCTGTCAGCATGCTCAAGGGTTTCGGGTTGGTAGTCGTCATCAACGAACTTTATCGTATTGTTCTTTCCACACATTAAGCCGACACACAGTGATATGACTGAAATTCTGTTCAAAGAAGTGTCAAACCAGTCTTCAGTGATGTAGCATACAAAACAAAACACAGATGATAAATTTGAATTGTTTTAATTGCTATACAGATAGTTTTCATTTAAATGCCTTTTGTGACACTTGTTTTCTCCCAGCCTGCTGGATGGTCGTTAGCCAGGTGAACAACAACCCTGCAGATCTCCATCCTCCTCCTCCTCCTCCTCCTCATACATTCACTAATACAACAGCATGGACAATGAGAGTCAAACAGATTTCAGTCAGTAAGGCCTAAAAATGTGTCTCCAATTACTATTAAATAAGCCAGACATTAGGCACATTTTCATTTAAATACTTACAGACTCAATTCTATCACAAACTCCATGGGAACTTAGACTAGAGATCCATTTTTCACATCATAAAAGTTCTAATTCACATCCCATGGTCATCACATGGTCACTACATGGTTTAAGACTTTCTTATCTACTGGGTTGAATACCTTTATATTCCATTCAGGACAACTATTACATGAATGTTAAAACAGACCTTTTTCATGTTCTCTTTCAATTATGACACCCAAATTAGAGTAAGGTAATTGGAATCACAACATTTACATTGACCATATATTTAAATTAAGAGTGGTTCCTTTCACATTTTACATAGATATTATGTAAATATATTTATAAAACATTTAATTTAATCATCATTATAGAAAATATGTAAGCTGTGATTTACTCTTGTAACATTTGCAAAATATTGTCAAACATATTGAAACTGTCGAAACTGCATCACAACTTCCATAAAATCTGATCTGTCGAAAAACATTGAAGACATTTTGTTTTGGCAAATTGACTAATGCATTAAAAGCTCCAGCAATTCAATGGATGGAAAGTTATAAGCACTTACTCAAAACTGGATTTCATAACCTCCAAAATATATTAACCATTGAACATTGTATTTTAAATATATATTGCACTGCAGTATAATATTCAGTCAATAGAATACATCATCATTGTATCAGAGTGTCCGTTCACAGATAGCAAACAGTAAACACTATTGTAATGTGTTGTGAATCGGCAATTCTTCACGGGTTTGTACACACTTCCATGGTGGAGGAACGCAGCGTATACAATCCCGTGAAGTGTTACCATGTGTATCACAATGTCTGTCATCAGGATTGCACAAATTACCCATGAGTATAGCAGTAATCAACCACATGGAATGTTCACTCAGCGCTTCCTCTAGAACACTGAGGAAGTTGGCAGGAATACATCATTCTTTTGATTACCAATGAAGTAGAGGACAAACAAGATGTTTATGGGATACAATCTAGTTATATCTAAGAATACTCAAAACTGTCAAAGTAGCTATTTACAATATCAACCAATCAGATCCTAGGAATTTACAAGGTACATGGATATTGAGTCAAGACCAAAAAAAAAAAAAATTATCTTCAATCAAAGAAGGCATAATCTTTACTTTACTTCTAAAGTCATCACACCTGCAGGTATTGTGATAACAGATGATTATGTTTGTAATTTAACATGATTAAAAACATTTAACATATTAGTGTATTCTTTGTCATAATTAATAACTGAAATCAACTACTTTCTTCTGTCAAGTGTTGAGAATGGTTGGCATGAGAGAACCTAGAGTGTTTATTACTCCTATTACGACAAAGAATGGATATCTGAAAAACAATTTCCGTTAGACAATTCTATAAGTTGATACTGTAATAGGTACCTATGAAGCCTTGTGACAAGTTACTAAATAGACTGGTTTGAAAATGCTGAATAGGATTACATAATTAGATAATCACTGAAATAAATGCTATCAACATGGCTGTTCACAAAGATAGGAACAACTGAAAATACCCAGTGGCTGCTTCAAGAGGAGCACAGTAACATATTCCATACAACTGATTCTATGTTCACATGTGTGGCAACCTTTGTGTGATTGCAGGACAAGTATTAAGTTAAACAGATAAGACCAAGTAATGGAAAAAAAGTACAAATAGAAGGAGTTAAAATGTCCCGTATAAAAAGCCAGGCACTAGCAAAACAATACACATCATAAAAAAAATTCTTAAAAATAATCCTAACATGTAAATTGAGAGTTTAATGTGAAATCAAAATAATTAAGTCTGGGTTCAATACCTCCGGATAATTAAGTAGCCTCCCTTGCTTTCAAAGAGCATGCACATATTTGTGACTTTTCATAACTGCCTGTGTTGCTCCAAGCTGAAACAGACAGCCATTGGAGGTAGTCGGGTACAGAGCTACTTCAGCCAGAATAGCATCAAGGATAAGGTTACCCTGGCAACCAGGAACTCTGCGTTCTTTTAGACATAAGCCAGGATGAAAAGGGGGATTTTCTCCAATTGTAAACAGGCAACTCTATATCTCAAACCCCAAAACAGAGAAATAAATATAAATTGTAGCAATTTGTCTCAATTGACTCAAGCAGCACTTTAGAAATCACTATGAAGTTGGAATTACTAATGCACACAGAGATTTGGCACTTTGTAATATTCACAATAAATTACATATATACAAACAGTGTTTATTACAAAGATATTTTGCCATCCTTTCAACACGTTAAAATATACACAAATATTTGGAAAATTGCAACTGTAACATCAAGTCTAAAAATAAAATCTTCTAGGACTTTGATTAATTCATCCAATATTGCATACTATGTTCATATTTCTAACAATGTAATGGAAGTCTCTTCATTAAACAGTGATATTTCTTTACTAATATCTATGGTTTCTCAACATTAAGATATATCCTCCGAATATACTCTGTACAAATGTAATGAACAGATCACAATACATACTACATCAGTGATACATAAAGAGGCTAACATGATCTAGAGTTACAGCACAGTCTCCAATCTTAGGCCTCACACTTTGTTTTTGCTTGGTTAATGGAAATGATGGATCCCACCTTTAGAAAAAAATACAAATGAGAATGACAGGGTTTTTTTACTGCTGACAGTAAAGAGCTCTTTGACAATAAAAATAATCCAAGTGATTTTTACGACTAAAACAAATTTTTTTTAATGATAATCAACATATATATTTTTTGCCACCTTATCAATCAAAAACAAACTTTAACATGTTTAAGATGATACAAAAAATCCTGTACAATGGATTTTATTATATATTTTTTTTTACCTACCAACCAAATATTCAAAATCCATAAACAAAACCCAAAAAGTGCTTTGCCTTAGGACATTACCCGTAATTCAAAATCATACATTGTACCCATGTGGGGAATTGAACCTGGGTCTTCGGCGTGACGAGCGAACGCTTTGACCACTAGGCTACCCCATCGCCCCTCTGGAATGAAGAATCTGATTCAATCTTATTACCATGATAACTTCAAATTGTGATGACAGATATACTTATATTACAATGGGTACTGAAACATACAATGTTTCTACACTGTCAAACTCAGTGTAAGTACATCAATAACAGTAACTCATTTTCACCACCCAGTGCTTCTGCACTGCAGCACACCGTGTTCATTGGTCAACAGTCATAGTCATGGCAGCCACTTTGAAAATCAGATTTGAGTGAGTGAGTGAGTGGGTTGGCTTTAACGCCGCTTTTAACAGTATTCCAGTTATATCGCAGCGTGTCAGCTTAATGTGGGAGGAAAGCCCGAAGTGATGCAGGTCTCAGATGTTTACCACTTGGGTGAAACCCACGAGCACAGGTATGGTGCTGACAAACCTAGAAACATAATCGGGGCAACTGGGATTCGAACCCACAATCATAGGTTTCTGGCGTGTCCAAGGGACGCAACTCTGCACTGCAAATCACGGCGCCTCAGACAACTGAGCCACCCGTGCCCCAAAATCAGATTTGAATCTCTTCAAAGAAATGGACATTGGTGGGAACAGGCATTTAAAATTTTCACTTAACTTGGCCACTGGTTTCCCAGACAACAATGAAAGCTGGACAAGCAGGCTGTGATTAGCTCACTTGACTTTCAGTCATGTGAACAAAAAAACGATGGCCTGTTTGAGGAATACTGAAATGGCTATTGCTCTTCTTATTACAGCTAAATGTAGATCACTAAAAAGATATGAAATGGTTACAAGATCTCCAGGAATACAAAATGATCTTTTAACCTAATTTGTTCCATTGTTTGATTATTTGTTATACGCCGCACTCAGCAATATTCCAGCTATATGAGGCCGGTCTTTAAATAATCGAGTCTGGACCAGACAATCCAGTCATTGTCATCACAAGTATCGATCCACGCAATTCGGATACCATGACATGCATCACACAAGTCAGCGCGCCTGACCACCCGATCCCGTTAGTCGTCTCTTACGACAAGCAAAGTCGCCTTTTACAGCAAGCATGAGTTGCTGAAGACCAATTTGTTCCAAGTAGCAATTTCCCATGTTTACAATATCAGCCAATCAGATCACATATCTGCACCCAGCTCTGAGACAGAATACTTTTCAGTGACAAAATAGTAATGATATTGTCAAAGACTTTCTCTCACACATCTAATGCAAGATGAAACATATGATTCAATGACAGTGAATCACTAAGTGACTAGATTTCACACAGCATGGAATGTCTGTCTACAAGTACACAATCTGTTAAAAGTCATCTCTCTTCTTGTACGAGGCCCAGCTGGTCTGATTTAGGGGTTGTCTCAATAGTTTTGTAGTTTTTAGTTTGGTTTTGGCAAGTTCAATTTGATTTGGAAAAGGCAAAATTTGTAAGGCTGTTATCACATTCTGAATCACTCTTCCATCTTGTTCCTTGACAGAAACAAAATACTTTTGATCTCCCCTAGAAACAGTATAAACACCATCAAAGGCACAAAAACAAGTGACATGACCAAACGCAACCAAAGAGTTGGAAACGAAGAACAAATCACCTAAACACAACTCAAAGCATCATTTGAAATGAGCTGTGAAGGTATACAACACAGCACAAACAAATTAATTGTGAAAAATAGGAAATTTCTATTTGTATTGATATTAAGTAGGATATTACAACGACTTGATGGGAAGCTAGAGCAATGAATTGTTTTAACAACGAAGAGAACTTCAAGTCGAGAGAGGCTTCTGAACCCGTCCTTTGAGTGCGCATGTCGGGATGAGAGATAAGAAACACGAAACACTTTTCATATTCATTCATATTTCATATTCACAGATGACCCTGGATAAATAAATAAATTTTAATTCTGCAACATTCAAAATGTCTACTGGAAACATTGAGCTGAGATAAGTACCCTCCTCACTAAACCCTTCTCTTCTCAATCCACTGGACATATTGTTTTACTTTTTTTAACTTGATTAGACGAAAACTATGTACAATAAACTAGATAAAAACATCAGCAGTTTGAACAAATTCAAACGGGCCACCAGAAAAATTGAGATTAGCTGAACAATGGATATATCAGTCAAAATATGTATAAGCATTTATTGGTTAAAGTTTTGATTTATGGCTAATTCCAGTTGGCACTGAAACAAATACATTACTGAATATTAACAGTTCACCATATAGTGAAAGGTGAGCTTCTTTCCCTTTTGGTATTTCCTGCAAAAGTCATCTTCAAGGTTAGAGAAAGTAAGGAGTGATGCAAAGAGACGGAAAACAGTTGCCATGGATACCCAAAAATACAGTGATTTTTTTCCCCAAGGTAGGTGTGCAAGGTTGTTCAATTCATAATCGATTTGTTACAGCCTTCACTATTACTGATATCTACATTACGCATAGTTCATCCTGTAAGTTGTTTGGTTGTTATTTACAAGAATCAGTTGCTACACAAACAGGCTACTGTTACTAGAACAGAAACAAACAACAACCATAGCACTAAATGTATGCAAAACAAAACACAAACATCCAACATTTTCTTGCAAATCAATATACAGATATCAAATGACACATACAATAATTACAGTGAGACTCCAAAATCGCAAACAATTTTTCCAGTTACCCTGGATGTAAAAAAAACAAAAAAAAAATATGCTTAGGCTTAAAAACATAAAAGAATTGGTTCTCAGGCACTGGCTTTTGAAAATGTGGGCTGGGGGTGTCTTTTTTGTTTTTGTTTGTTTTGTTTTTAGTGGGTTTTTTTGTTGTTTTTTTTTGGGGGGGGGTCTGTTCACACTGGTATGTAAGCAAATAAACAGTTGTGCAACCAAATAACAGATGTGTACAATCAACCTGGGAAAGGGCTTCACTACATCAAAGTACATTCCTAATGAGTAAAATACTGGAATACAGGATTCGACTCCCCTTGGACTTGGAATATTTAAGGATTTTTTATATTTAAAAAAAAATGGAAATAAATATGAAACGTGTAGAAAACTTTATGATGATGCGGGCGATGCTCGAGAACCAAGACTTTTATTTTTTTTAGCCTTAGCAATAATAGGTTGAACTGCTCTCAAATACTTTACACTGACTATAACAGTGTAGCATGGAATATATAAGATATATGACATACTTAGCATAGCAAGAGATTGTCATTACCAGGGCCTCGTTCCACAAAGCAACTTAGCACTACGACTGTTGTCATCCTGTGATGTGTTCAGGGCCCTGTTCCACAAAGCTATCTTAGCGCTAAGGTGATCGTAACTCCCATACTTTAACACTGGCTTACGATAGTCGTAGCGCTACGATCGCTTTGTGGAACAGTGCCCAGATCATCTTGGTGCTAAGTTCACTTTGTCGAACAGGGACCTTCCAGCTGTTCTCCCATATCTGTGTCTCCTGACACTTATTCCACTACCAGCATACCACCTCAGTCAACACTTGCGTAGTGATAATACATAAAGTAGTTCCAGATCCAGCGGTGTAAAGTATGTATAACATGTTGGTCGTTCTTGAAGACAGCTCAGTGTATGTTTAATAGAAATATGGTACATGCAATTTGATTTGGTGTAAAAGGCAAATAGAAACACTTTGAACATTTTTTTAAGTGCTGCTTGTGACTGTTAGGTTCTGTGTCAGAGGAATCAGTTGAGTTGAAGTTGAGCGACAGGGCTATTAATATCATAACTCATCTATCCTGTGGTGAAAGTCATGGGAATGAAAGTAGTTCCAACAGTTCTCACAATGAGGGCTAAGATGGCTTAGGGAGCAACCATTTAACCTTTTCTTTTTTGAAAGAGAGAGAAAGTCTTAAACAGTAATCATGATCCTGTTTCACTGCTAAATAATTACATATGCAACACACTGTGGCCTTTTCATGCAGACAAGTATCCAAAGAATATATTTTGGTATTTATATTTCTTTAAAAAAAATAATTGAGCATCTGTTTATGTTGGAAAATATAATTGAGCTCCCATATATTAAAAAAGAAATGCTGATCTTAAACAAAAATCCTGCCGCCACCATGAAAATCAAATGGTTGCTCCCTTATGGGACTGTGCATCTGCTGCCAAGGGAGATAACTCTGTAAGACTACATTGTGAATTGTCATTGCTTACACAATCAAACATTCATTTTGATAAAGCATGAAGATCATATGATGATCCTGCATGCGACATTGATAACAACTTAAAATGTTTAAAGATTTCTGGAATAATATTAATATACTGTTTGGATTGATTACTCCCAAGTAATATGATGTATTGATACAGACATCTGGAACTACGTCTCCAGCATGTTCAGTCTTGTTGTTTTCAAGTTATCACAGATAATTCAAGTCGCATGTTCTAAAACATAAGAAGCCTCTTGAGACAGTCATGAAATACTGATTTCACACAATACTTTATGCACAATGACAGAGCAAAGCCTTGTTCACAGCCAAGATTAACAGCTATATCCACAGGCACACCATCATCAGGGCTCCAGGTACTTACTCACATGTTATCATGCACTTTGGGTATTCATAGTATTCTTTGGGTACTCAATATAATTCTACGCCCTTGAGTCCAGTTGACTGGGTGTCTACTGGTGGATGTATTTGTGAGCAGCGATAGAAACTAACACTTATATTCCACTTGTCCTTATAATGATAACATATACCAAAACCCTTAAAAATGGCAAATTTCTACTAGTACTTATGATACCTTAAGTACTGTGCACTTTGGCAAGGACTATAGGACTGGTGCCAATTTGAGTCTTGTTAATCTAACATATTCTCAGATCCTTATAGTTTTTCAAGGTATATCCATACCAAAATGGTCGCTTCATGGCATATATATTAGCTGATTTTCAAAAATGTCCTACCTACCAGTACCACAAAACCAAATATCTGACCATGATGGCAAGTTTGTGTATACATCCTTTGTATGACCATGATGAAAAAAGGAACTTATTGTGCCAAACAAAGACACTTCCAAATACTGGGAATGTCAGACAGGATACAATTTGTTGTTAATGTAATTGAGACATAAGGTCTGAAATATGTTGGAAGACTGATCTACGTGTCACCCCAGGCAACTGCGTCTTCCTGTACAGTACCAGGCCTGGTGCTTCAAAATAAAATTGTCAAGAAGGACTTGGTTTCATTCTGTCCAATAGTAGAAAATAATGTTTCAGTCAGAGTGAGTGAGTGAGTGAGTATGGTTTTACGCCGCTTTTAGCAATATTCCAGCAATATCACGGCGGGGGACACCAGAAATGGGCTTCACACATTGTACCCATGTCGGGAATCGAACCCGGGTCTTTGGCGTGACGAGCGAACGCTTTAACCACTAGGCTACCCGACCGCCCCTGTTTCAGTCAGAAAACACAAACAAACAAACAAGCTCTAGAACATCCTCTGTCACATGTTCTCATAGACCAATGGTTAGTCTCCAAAACTACATAATTTTGATAGAAACAAGCTGCAACGTTTAAATTGAAAAGTGACCCAGTGAGATTGGACGACATTCTGAACCTGTGGAAAATCTAGACTTGCTTTTTTAGATCTATAGCATTACATGAAGGGTTGGGGAAAGGAAAAATAAAATGATTCAGGGACTGTGAGACAGACTACATGTTCTCAATGAACATCCAAGTTCCCTCTGCATGCTCTCAACATGTTCACATGCATTGTTCAAAATGGCCACCAATGTTAAAATGGGCAGTTGGTTAGTTTGATGGCTGGATTTCGGCTGGATACATTTCAGTAGCAGCTTAGATTTATCAACATTCAACTCTCCAGACCTATTGCTCTGGTATCATTTTTTCAAGTAACCTGGTTAAGTATAGAGTGGCACGCACAATAAGTCACTTACACCTTTGCCATGTTTGCTGTGGTACGGTACAACAGTAAGGCTAAAGGTTTGGTCGGACCAGCTACACATCTATGTACTATCAATCCATTGCACCATTAAGAGCATCTGAAGCAACGATTCACACATGTAATCAAGGTAAATATCATGGAAATACTCTGTTACCATGGTTACACGTGAAAGTATTATACTTTGGACTTTCATTATGTTTCTTTGTCATCATGATCATAATTAAATTCATAATTCATAAAGTATGATAAATGGAAATATGGAAGATTTGAAAATGTAAGAATTTCATAAACATGGTTATTTTCCAACACATTTGTGAAGCTGCCCTCTGTTACCATGGTTACCTATGTGATGTATACAGTCAGCACAATGTCCTCCACTGTTTTTGCATGTTTTGTACGTGTTCTAAACACGTCTCCGCCATCAAGACACGGAACACTGACACTTGGTGGTATCTTCCTGGGGGGTGGCAGGGCTCACAGTTGCACTCGTCTCGGTCATCTGCATCTGGTTGACAGCTTCCGATAAAGATCCTGAGCTACAGGATAACACCGGATGAGCTCGTCGGGAATAGAACTTCTTGTGACACTCCATGACATACTCGTCATATCGCCTGTCAAGTTCTTCTGCAGCTGCTATCTGCTCTTTGCGTGCCGGCACTTCCAGTTTCTCCGCACACTCCCGTGAGCACGCCCAGTGTTGGAATGGCACACATGTGTTGCCCAAGTATGGGTTTTTAAATGTTATTACTTTGTATCCTAGAAAAATAAATTGAAAAAATAATTATTTCTTTTTCATATGCAGCATGTTTAATATATCAGCTGATGTATGTTCTAAGGCTTGAAAAATCCCCCTGAATTAATACAACATGATCAAATCACGATATGCTTCATGTTAGTGGGTGTGAATAATAGAATGGGTCTCAGCCAATCAGAGTCCAACATCTATGTGTAAGGTCATATAAACGTGGCATGTTTGGAGCCAAATGACTTGGTTCTCTTTGCTAAGGCTAAAAAAAAAAAGGCTTGGTTCTCAGGCACCACCCGCATCATCATAAAGTTCGCCGCACATTTCGTTTTTATTTCCGTTTAAAAATTAAAAATTAAAAATCCTTAAATATTCCAAGTCCAACAAGAGTCAAATACTGTATTCCAGTATTTAAGTCGTCAAGGAATACATTTATGTAGGGAAGCCCTTTCCCAGATTGATTGTACACAATTGTTTATTAATTACACAACTGTTTATTAGTTACATACTGGTTTGAACAACAACAACAACAACAAAAAGACACCGCCCGCACGCCCGCACTATATTTTCAAAAAACATTGCCTGAGAACCAATTGTTATTTTTTTTAGCCTAATCTGTCTCAACATTCTTTGCTAATCTGTCTCCACATTTATACTATAAACTTCAAAGAATATTTCCAAATCAATACTGCAAATGACAAATCCTACCAACCTTGTAAGTGTCCTAGCTGAGCTTTGTTGCAGTAGTTGCAGATATGGAAAAAATAATAGATATCCGAAATGTAGTCCTTCAACACAGGGGCTACTGAATTGTCACAGAAGAAGTCCTTCTTGGAACTGATCACAGCCTTGGCAGCCCAGAACTGAAGCCGCTCATAGCTGCGGTACAGGTTACAGTCGTTGCTACCGGCTACCGGTATGATCCTGTAGTTCACGTCAGTATGATACCACATAAACGTGGCTTTGAAATAGTTGTGATTGCCATGGCGATGGACGGTTTGTATTGATGGCATTTGAAGCAGGAATCCAGGCAAAGCGTCCAGCAGGTTGTTGTCAAGGAGGACTGTCCGGAGATTCTTGCAGAACGTGAGAGTGTGGGGGAGGGAGTGCACCTGCAGCTTGTTATTGGTCAGCGCCAGGTATTCCAGTTTGTGCATCCGGCCTATTTCAGCCGGGATGCGGTCCAGGCTGTTGTACTTCAGAGACAGGAACCTCACATTGGCACACTTGAAGAGCTACAAGTGCAGGGAAAAGGTTAGAGACAGGCATTTACAATGTAAGGGAGATAACTCTGGTTACTGGAAGTGACAACAAACACACTGTCAATGAGTTGGGTAATTCTAATGTTGCTAAGTAACTGGTAAGTAATGGTAAGTAATCAAAATTTATGTATGTCACTAGGATATCTGGTAAGGTGGTGAGGATGTATTGGATATTGTATAATACTCTGAGTCTAGTTCTGAAATAAACAAGTCGTGTTGTAACCAGGTGTTCATGATCTTTCAAAGGTCATGATCAACAAGGCACCCTGATGTAGCACTCATCAATACCATTCTTGATATGCTTCCTTCTGTATTGATAAACACAGTTTCACAATTATTTTTCTTATTGGATTTGAATACCTCGATGTAACTATTAGCTACATTGCTTAGGGGTACAAGAGGTCGTACCGGGGGTCAAGGGCTGAGAGTTTTGTTACAAGATATTTTTCAATCACTGCTTCAAAACAGAATTTTTTCTCTGACAGGAGGTGTCAAACAAATCTGAGGCAAGATCCCATTTTTCAGAGTTTTTCAGGAACAATTCTTTTTCTAAATCCCTGCACCCAAACGCCCATCATTATCAAACAACTGGGCTCTAAGCAGGAGGACAAACCCTAAAATCTACATACATAACTTCTAATCATTGGTATTACATCAGTTTATATTAATATATTTAGGGGTGGCCTTACCTAGGAAGTAGAAGATGGGTTACCATGGTTACATACCTCTCTAGGAAGCCTGTTGTCGTCACCATACTTGAACATGGAGTCCAGGTAGAACTCGGTGAACTGATGACTAGACAGGTAGCGAGACAGCAGTGTTTCTGTATGTGAGACAAACATGAGTGAGTGAGTGAATGTTATGTTATACAGCGGCCAGCAATATCACAGCTAGATCACAGCAAAATGCAAACAAAAATTTCTGTCCCAGAACAACATTAAGTTTTTGCTTGTTTTTTTGACACTGCTCTCAGGAATATTCAAGCAACATGACGGTGGCCTGTAAATAATCAAGTTGAACCAGACCAACATGTTTTTTGACATTTGGGTATTTTAACATGAAAACCTGTTCTGTTACCACGCTTGTAAGAAAAAGACTTGATTTCATTTCTAGACAAGTGTAACAACACAATCACGTTTCATTGTGTTTACAACTAAATATCAGCCATGGATGTTTATGTTCCCATTCTTAAATTGGGTTTTGTTACCTGGTTACACACGGTTACCATCATGTTTTTACCGTGCAGCAGAGTTAGTGACTGACGAGATTACTTCACTCAAAACATAACCCACAACACTTTTTTAACAATTCATGAGGAATACCCCAACTCAAATATCAGAATAAAAAGCTTTTTGAGAGAGCTCAGGACTCAATGTATATATGTAGCTACAAATACTTTTTCCCAGATCGTCACTGGTAATTCAAGAAGTCAAGCCAATATTGTACGTAGCCAAAAACGTTTGAAGTTATCTTTCACGAGCATTCTATTCAAATTGATAACATACACAAGTCATAGGATTAGTCTTGGAATTGTATATTAGCCACGCATACATCGTTAGCCATTCTTTGTTTCAGTTTCTTTCCCAAGCAACCATTCTTTATTTTCATTCAAATGTCATTGTTATGGTTTAGAACTCCATGTCTGTATTTGACTACATCAGCTCGGAATCCTGTCAACCATCACTATTACTAGTACCAACGTTACTCTCATTATTGTTTCCACTCACAGCATTTTTGCTGTGCGGAGATGGAAAAGTACTTTGCAATGATGTTGTCAAGTAAAACTAAATGCATGTTAGAAGTACGTAAATTTGATGCACTGCACACAGAAAAATTATTTAGCATAACCGAATTCTCACAGCGCAACATGGAGCTATCAAAATGATCAGTGACACAAATGATGAGTGCTGTTATACGAGTTCTATTGCAATCTGAAAAACTGGCGATCGAGAAAATGACATAGGAAATGTCAGTCAAGTTATTTATTTCTGTGTCTACTAATGCGAAATATATATATCTAATAAAATTCAGTTGCCACAAGATATTTTTTTCAAGAATTCGATAGCAATGCCCATTGTTTTAGTCTCAACTTTGAGACCTTGAGTTTGAAATTTTGTTTTGCCCCATGTGCTTGCAGCATGTCCAGTGACCTCTTCGTGAAGCCATTTTTGTTTGCAAAACCTAGCATTGTAAAAAAGAAATGAGGTCGTTGGACACTCTTTTCAGAAGGACCAATCGGCTGTTTAAGATACATTGACTAGGCTTGAATTTTTGGAGTTTCTTCGTCACACGTTTTACCAAACGTAAATGTTGGTAAATGAATTTTGGGATCGGCTGATTGTTTCATCTAACTGCTGTAAAATATGCATAGTTTTATTAGAATAGCACATTTATAGTTTCTGTATTTGATACACTAGGATTTTATTTTGTCTGCATGTTTCGGTTTATTTAATTCATAATATGCAGAAAATACACAGCTTATCTCGAGCTCTGTTAATCAACTATAAGCATATAGTAGATACAGCTAGGACAAAAAAGAAACTTGACAGTATACATCATATACATGACATAATGGCAGAAATCTCTAACAACTGTTTCATTTCAATAGGAAATAATTTGGATCTACATTTAGCCAGTGTTGAAAATACAACAATCAGTTACCTTGGTTACATTTTGACAAGAAATGAGGCTTCCTTCTTGTCTGAGCACTCACCTCCAGCTTTGGGCAGACGCTTCTCTCTCTCCCTCTGCACCTCTTTCTGAACGAGTTCCAGCAGGTAGCGCTGACGACGGTGGAGAGTCACAGACAGATACCATAGGCTTTGGGGGATCTCCTGAAATACACAAGCAATCATTCAATCAATCACAGGCTCTGGGAGTCTCCTAAAATAGATACAGCATTCACTCAATCAATCACAGGCTAAGGGGGTCTCCTAAAATAGATACAGCAATCACTCAATCAATCACAGGCTAAGGGAGTCTCCTAAAATAAATACACCATTCACTCAACCAATCACAGGCTCTGGGAGTCTCCTAAAATAAATACTGCATTCATTCAATCAATCACAGGCTCTGGGAGTCTCCTAAAATAAATACAGCAATCATTCAATCAATCACAGGCTCTGGGAGTCTCCTAAAATAAATACAGCATTCATTCAATCAATCACAGGCTCTGGGAGTCTCCTAAAATAAATACAGCATTCATTCAATCAATCACAGGCTCTGGGAGTCTCCTAAAATAAATACAGCATTCATTCAGTCAATCACAGGCTCTGGGAGTCTCCTAAAATAAATACAGCATTCATTCAGTCAATCACAGGCTCTGGGAGTCTCCTAAAATAAATACAGCATTCATTCAATCAATCACAGGCTCTGGGAGTCTCCTTAAATAAATACAGCAATCATTCAATCAATCACAGGCTCTGGGAGTCTCCTAAAATAAATACAGCATTCATTCAGTCAATCACAGGCTCTGGGAGTCTCCTAAAATAAATACAGCATTCATTCAGTCAATCACAGGCTCTGGGAGTCTCCTAAAATAAATACAGCATTCATTCAATCAATCACAGGCTCTGGGAGTCTCCTAAAATAAATACAGCATTCATTCAGTCAATCACAGGCTCTGGGAGTCTCCTAAAATAAATACAGCATTCATTCAATCAATCACAGGCTCTGGGAGTCTCCTTAAATAAATACAGCAATCATTCAATCAATCACAGGCTCTGGGAGTCTCCTAAAATAAATACAGCATTCATTCAATCAATCACAGGCTCTGGGAGTCTCCTAAAATAAATACAGCATTCATTCAATCAATCACAGGTTCTGGGAGTCTCCTAAAATAAATACAGCATTCATTCAATCAATCACAGGCTCTGGGAGTCTCCTAAAATAAATACAGCATTCATTCAGTCAATCACAGGCTCTGGGAGTCTCCTAAAATAAATACAGCAATCATTCAATCAATCACAGGCTCTGGGAGTCTCCTAAAATAAATACAGCATTCATTCAATCAATCACAGGTTCTGGGAGTCTCCTAAAATAAATACAGCATTCATTCAACCAATCACAGGCTCTGGGAGTCTCCTAAAATAAATACAGCATTCATTCATACAATCACAAGCTCTCCCGTTCTCATGAAATCACAAGTATCTCTTGAAATATTTTTCACCCATGTCTCAACAATGTCTCGCTGATGTCTCAACTATCTTTCACCCACGTCTTACATGTCTTAACTATCTTTCACTCATTTCTAAAGAATGTTTTACCAATATGTTAACAATGTATCAGCTATGCATGTATCAACTATGCATCGACCATGTTTCAATCAAGCAGCAGCCTTGCATCAATTATGTATCAGCAATGTATAAACTATACATCAACATGATCCACTAAGCATCAACCAAGCATTAACTATGTATCATGAACTATGTATCATGAACTGTGTCATGTATTAACCATGTATCAACCTACAGAATGAACTGTATATCAACTATGTAGAAACCATGTATCAACTATGAATCAAATGTGTATCATGAACTGTGTCATGTATTAACCATGTATCAACCATGCATAGTTAACTGTATATGAACTATGTATGAACTATGTATGAACTATGTATGATGAACTGTGTCATGTATTAACCATGTATCAACCATGCAGAATGAACTGTATATCAACTATGTACCAACCATGTATCTATGTATCAAATGTGTATCATGGACAGTGTCATGTATTAACCATGTATCAACCATGCAGAATGAACTGTATATCAACTATGTACCAACCATGTATCAACTATGTATCAACTGTGTACCATGAACTATGATCAGCCATGTGTACAACAGCCTGCCACACAAGACATCAAGGCAGTATGACATATACACAGGACACATGGAACACAGAGACAGGTGGGACAGGCTGATATCCACCAAGGTTGATTCATTGTGTAATATTGTGTTACAACAATCTTTAGTGATCCATTACTCTTCACACAACCTGAGCCACACAAGAACTAAATTACAGCTACATTAATAACATTGAATAACATTGAATAACATTGTGTGACAATGTCCCACATGACATGTAATAATAACCAGACAACTTGTAACATTCCTTTCATATCACATACATTCATCATGACTACATGTCATTTATTTCATATGATTATCAATCTATTAACATGGTTAAAACATTTGTTTGTTTGTTGTTTAACACCGCAATCAGCAATATTCCAGCTATATGACGGCGGTCTGTAAAATAATCGAGTCTGGACCAGACAATCCAGTGATTGACATCATGAGCATCGATCCACGCAATTGGGATCGATGACATGTATCAACCAAGTCAGCGAGCCTGACTTGGTTGATAGTTGATTTTACAAGTTCCAAAGTTCTCAATTATTTATCATGCAAGACCATGAAAAACCCATCAAACATCTGAATTGACCGAATAGCAAACATCTAATATGTACACGACATTTGAATTACTTTAACCCTGCTAAACCCAGCTAAATCTTTGTTTTAAAAACATTGCACCTCCTGACTGTAGTAAAAGCTTAACGAGCATTTAGCCGTGTCGATGCAGTCAACAGGATAGTCGAGGAAAATACTCAATTAAATGAAAGCTTTCGGCCTCTTGTGCTAGCAATTCGTTTAAAGGAGCTACATATTGATTTTGCTGTCACTAACCTAGTGCTGAGCATCAGTGAATGCAATTGCAAAATGTCTGGAATGTGGTAAATCTCTCGTATTCACACCTCAACTGACCTGTTATGCTGGCTGCTATCAGATGATATCATTGATTATTGGCTGTATACGACTTGGCAGCACAGTGTGTGACAGTTTGCAAAATCGGTGAATTCCATCGTACAAAGAAATGAGTGATACTTGTTGACGTGTCAGAATCAATAAATCTGCATTAAAGCTTCTTTTTTAACATTAATGATGTCTTCCTTGGGAAATTTAACTTCATTTCTGCATGATATTTTCTTTCTGTAATTCACCCCTGTTCACATTATACAATATTGGAACATAAGAGTTTCCACATCGGAATCAAAACTGAAACAAAAACACTCTTTGTACTGCAAATGTCAGCAGAGAAGACTAATTTGCTTGCCAGTCAGACATCATTTTAACATTTGGCAACTACATTCTTTAGCTTGATCAATACAGAAAGTCCTCTAGCAGAGGCAGAGTTTTCAATTTATTCTGATCCATTCTCATGATGCAATGACCATTGTTGGCTAAACTGACCATCTTGACCCAGACTTTACACATGCCAACTTCAACTTCAAGCATGTCAAGTGTCATTCAAAGTGGTGGTTGGACTAACAAGCCACAACAAAAGTCTGATAACATTTTGGCCATCATAAAACCTGCTGTAATAATTTGAAGCCACCTCCTTCTTTTGACCTGAAGATTAACTGACTAAGGGTTATGGAATGGTATGGTAACATGTCTAAACATGTTGGTATGGTTGAGCGATCCACTGCTTTTCATAAACAAAACACAGCACCCCTCAGAAAGTGCTCAAAAGCAAAGGTACCCTTCAGTTAAAACATAAAAAAGATGTCAAGGAACATAAGTCCTCCATCCACAAAGAAGACCTGGAATCATCCCTATCAGAACCTATCACTATCAATATTCCCCACCATTCCATCGCCTGGCAACACACAAAATTCCTCTGTACAAACATTCCCAACTAGAGGAAGCACAAGCTCCAAGAAGCTATCCACATCCTAGCCATCAATCAATCGTGATGAGGGACATTTAATTATCATCTACTTATCAACTCATGTAATCTATTGTAGAAACACATTACCTCGAACCCACGCTCTAATAACAACTGGCCTGGCCATCAATCCCTAATTGTACGTCCTGATAAGATAAGCAGTTTTTATAGTAATGTGTCATGACACCATAGACATGATGGACCATGGTAACAGAGTTCATTCAACCAGGGCTCCACCTGCCTCACTACTCAATCGTTCATTAGTAGTGAGTATGGTTTTATGCCACTTTTAGCAATATTACAGCAATATCACGGCAGGGGACACCAGAAATGGGCTTCACACATTGTACCCAAGTTTGGAATTGAACTTGGGTTTTCGGAATGACGAGCTAATGCTTCAACCACTAGGCTACCCGACGGCCTCCGTTCATTAGCAATGTTAATAATAATCAGAGAGATATTCCGATATATGCTTGTTGTTAAAGATACCAGCTACAGGATACATTTTTGTTTATAAATACTGATGGAATCATTATCATGGTCATCGTGAGGAAAACAATAATTTCCTTTTCATCATGTACATTGATATGATTAATATTAACATAATTACCTCAATGTTCACATTCTGCTTTGTTCCCATATGAATAATAAGAGATTACAGTGCAATGACAACAGCTTTTAAGGGCAACTTTCAATAGTTTGATGTTATAAACTTAACAGTTACACAGTGTCAACTTTGATCATTCACGAGGGCAGTTGTGTGATCAGTAAATTATACTACTCAAAAGAAGTTTAAGAAAACCTGATGTTGTCCTGACTATATGTAATCTGTAAAGGCCATGACAGATATGAAAAACATTGGGTTTTCTTAACTTCACTTGAGTAGTATATGTGTGTTTATGTTGCCGTCAGCAACATTCCAGTTATGTCATGGCAGCCTGTTATTAATCAAGGCTGGATGGTTGGGTTGCATCCCCACAGGGTAACATGCCTAGACTGATCCAGCTGCCCCCACTTACTGATGCAAGCTTGCTGAAGCTGACGCAAGACCTACACAGACACGCTCCTTAACTCAGCAGGGGAAGTATTACCCAGTAGCCTTCAATAAGCCCTATGTTAAAGCCATGTTACAGGCCATGGACCTGATGACAATGACTCATTTCACAATATTTGAATTACTTGGCAAGAACTTAGAGGCTTAAATTTATTCTAATTGATTTACTGTGTGGTGGTTAATAAAAGACCTTACTTGTTAGATTTACACCAACTGAGAACACGAGCAACGTCCCCACCACTGGCCAATCCCATTAAAATCAGATCTTAGTTCTTGCTACCGCTAAACAAAGATCTGAGGACATCCCATTACGGGTCACGTCAGAACGACCTTTCGCGAATTTTGACAGACTAATGAAATGACTGACAAGAAATCAACATTGGCCAATCAGAAGGCAGCTTTCTCGAGCTCGCGACTACGCTTCGAAACATATTTTGACGTATTCTCGATTAAAAAAATTAAAACTGATAAGAACATTCTGGAATGGCTCATAGATGGCCTAGATTGTATGGATATAATCATAAAACCCGTAACTGTCGTTTGGAATACCCCGTGTTAAATATATCGTGGTTGCATGATTAGAAAACACATTCCAACTGTCACTTTCATGATCTGGTAAGCGACGCTCTGATTGGTTGGATGAAAGGTCGTTCTGACGTGACCCGTAATGGGATGTCCTCAGATCTTTGTTTAGCGATAGCGAAAACTAAAATCTGTTTTTAATGAGATTGCACCACTGGCCTACAGAGACATGCCACCAGAAGACATAGAGCCTGACCACCAATTCCCCATAAGCTCAGTGCTGGTTCTCATCCCAAATCTGAGGTACTAGGGACCTATATAATATTTAACATTGCATTATGTAAAACTAAGCATTGAATATTCTTCCTTTTTATTGGCCCTGTTATTACAAAAACACACGTAAAATAACAAAGCCTTAGCATTAGTTATAACTATAACATGAACATGTGATGAATTGGAATATTATTTATTCCAATTTTGGAATATTTACTGTTCATCAATGTCTAATTAAGACCTTCAAAAAAACACCAGTAACTCCATGATCTCCTGTCTATTGTGCAAGAGGCTGTCACTTCATAGTGACACTGTTACCATGGTTACAGCATTATTTGTCAGCAAAAGAAAAAAATCTTTATTTCAAAACCTGTCATCTGTAGTTTATCTGACCACCCTCCACTCCAGCATTACACAGGCCAGTAAGTGAATGCTTGTATGTCTGTCATGTGTATCTTTTGTCTTTCCATATCTAGTCAGCATGTACATGATGCAGTAAGGATTGTCTTGTGTGTAACTGTCAGTGACCTGCATCTTAGTAACAATGTTTTTGTACACAGCATCTAATCATGTGCACATCATATATATGATGTATACAGATGCTGTTTTAGCACATGTTTTTTCACTTTGTTTTAATTTCATTTTATTTCTGATATGCAATGAAATCGATTATATCTAATCATAGTAAATTCTACAAATTTCGTAAACATGTGAACAGAGAAGACTTTCCAATATCCCCTTAATTACAGCTGATTTATCTCATGTCATATTGTGTAGAAGCAGTTGCATGGCATACAGCTGAATGATGCTGTAGTCATATTAACCTCATAGAGACAGGCCTACCTTGTTTCACATTACTTTCATAGAGACAGGCCTACCTGGTTTCATATTGCTTTCATAGAGACAGGCCTACCTTGTTTCACATTACTCTCATAGAGACAGGCCTACCTTGTTTCACATTACTTTCATAGAGACAGGCCTACCTGGTTTCATATTGCTTTCATAGAGACAGGCCTACCTTGTTTCACATTACTTTCATAGAGACAGGCCTACCTGGTTTCATATTGCTTTCATAGAGACAGGCCTACCTGGTTTCATATTACTTTCATAGAGACAGGCCTACCTTGTTTCACATTACTTTTATAGAGCTAGGGGCTACCTTGTTTCATATTACTTTCATAGAGACGGGCCTACCTTGTTTCATATTACTTTCATAGAGACGGGCCTACCTTGTTTCACATTACTTTTATAGAGCTAGGGGCTACCTTGTTTCATATTACTTTCATAGAGACGGGCCTACCTTGTTTCATATTACTTTCATAGAGACGGGCCTACCTTGTTTCATATTACTTTCATAGAGACAGGCCTACCTTGTTTCATATTACTTTCATAGAGACAGACCTACCTTGTTTCATATTACTTTCATAGAGACAGACCTACCTTGTTTCATATTACTTTCATCGAGACAGACCTACCTTGTTTACTTATTCGTGAGGCAGCTGGAACTGTAATCCCCTTGTGTTCCTATGATTGAGATGCAATATAAATCCTACACGCTGGGTAGCAGTTACTGGTATTGCCCCAAGCCTTGTAATAGTGCGCATGCGGCCAAGCTCATTTTTTTTATTAAAAGTGATACACTTAATTATTGAAGGGATGTAACGAAGATCAAATGTCACGACTATGCACATCTAATTCAGGCATTGCATGCAAACTGTCATTTCTTCAAATGATTCCACAATAATTTTGTATGCAGTACTTTTTCTCAAATAGGAATAACCAGAATATTTAGCAAAACCATAGTAAATAGTGGCACAGGTAAGCATGTGTAGATGGGTTTTTCAAAAGGTCTTTATCATGTTTATGCCTCTTGGCAGATGGCAAATTGTTATTTATCACTGTCAATTAGTTGGTTGGTTGGTTTGTTGTTTAACGCCACACTCAGCAATATTCCAGAGTTATGACAGCATTCTGTAAATAATCGAGTTTGGACCAGACAATCCAGTGATTAATATCATGAGCATCGATCCACGCACTTGGGATCGATGACATGCACCAACCAAGTCAGTGAGCCTGATCAATCCCGTGAGTCGCCTTTTACGACAAGAATAGTAGCCTTTTACGGCAACACTGTCAATTAAATATATGAATGTGATTTGTATACATAAAGAGGAGTGCATGTGCAAGCACAACAGAAATTGGCGCTGGGACGAGTAAAAATTTACTACCCGGGTACCTACCCCGCTATTACCCGACCTATCCGGGTACCCACTGTAGGTCTCAAGAGATAGGCACAAACTGTCCACTTGGGAAAAATTTGATCGTAGTCCTGGCAAAATGTATTTAGATACACATATAAAACGATCTGGTCATGCATATGCACTGATGTTTACTGCATGAAGTTTTTTCAAACATATAAAAGTCAGAAAGAATTGGGAACATTAGTGACTTGTTGTGTGACCATAGAATTTTAGATAAGATTTGTCATTAAACAATATATCATGTGACTAACCACAGGTTCGGGTAGTCCTGTGGGTACCCGGGTCCTGCTCAGGACCCACCCAACCCGAGTACCCAAGTTACCCGTCCCAGCCCTAACAGAAATCAACTCAAACTTTTTTAAAAACAGAAATTAGCACTTAAGATCCTGGTTTCACCAAAATTCAAAACAGTACCATAAACACATAAAGCTTGCAGTTTCGAATATTTTAGCAAACCTGCACAAAGAAGACACTTATAGCAATAGCTGGATGGTGACAGGTAGACCTAGAAAAAAAATAATCCTGTTAATGAGCTTGATGATTTTCTGGATCTGGATCAACGTCCTTTCTAACAAGGAAAAGTTGAACTCATCTCAGTGCCTGGGGATGTAAAGTAAAGCATGCAACGAGAATACGAAAAGAAACATCACCCCAATATCCTCAATATCGTCGATCAGAGTCCCCTTTTCGCTTATCTTCTTGGCTAGCTTGTCTCTCCACTCAATCCACAACTCAGGATGAGACTGGAAGCGACGGAACAGCAGCAGCTCGAAGCCGTGAAATACGTCCGTCATATTGGACAAAGATCCCGCGAATGTGGTAAGTTACAGCGGGGATTACACGGAGCAGCACCGCCGAGGGCCACTACATGGTTGGGAACTCAAGTGTCAAACATGGAAACAAGTAACCATCAAATCCCTTCTTCCACCCCAAACACGGAAACAGCTGACTACGCCATCTGGTTTAAAGGGAACTAACTCTTGATGCAAGTGCTCGTTGCGTGAACAATCAGCCAATCTCGTCTTTTCCCGTTTGTTTTGCAAATGAGGTCATTGGTGCCGTTTATATTTAGGACCGATGTTTGGGTCTCAATTGTTCCATTGGCCATTACAGGAATTATTTCAAACCAATAACAACTCACGTGGTCAACGTTAATTTCAAAATTCAAATACCATATGTAGTTTTACCTAAAACAACTGTCCGGATATAAGGCAAATAATATACAATATATAAAACTCTAGATACATCGACGGTTACCGAAATGATGGACCCTTGTTTAACCAGAAGAGAGCGAGTTAAAATGGTGGCCGTTTGAAACGTTCCGAGTGTCGTTTTGTAAAATCGAAAAGTCAGTCTGGATTTCACGTAAAATCACATACAGTTTCTTGTCAATCCGTTGAAAATGGAAAAGCGTAGTGATTAGTGCGTTTGCTTGTCGCGCTTAAGACCTAGGTTCGAACAAAGGGTGTTCATTTTGCTAAGCCATTAGTGAGAAATTAAGAGCAAACCCCTTAGCCTGGCCACTAAATAAAAATATCTAATAAAGGTACATATCAGGGATCATATGGCCTAGCTCAACAACTATACTCGTCTACCAAACGTTATGAAAACGTTACTCCCTGTCCATTAAATACAGGAGGCAAAGGATACTAGCAAAGTAGGAGTGAAAAGGGTATAATACCACATGTACCAAATCCTGTTCTTTTTAAACGGCATTTTCTAATAAAGAGTACAGCTGTTATAAACTGACGGTCAAAAGAAAGTATACACTTTCAGGTTGACTATACCAACAAATTATAAGCGTTACATTATCAGAGTATCGATGAAACACCGCAAACGTAAGGTCCAAAACACAACTGTGACACAACAAACACAACGGCATCAAATAACGTCTGACGTTTTATGCTGTCAAGCAGTACATTAATAACCTTGTTATACATATAAGCAATGTCTCCATTTCAAACAATTCACACAATTAAAAGTACAATTTCTGATTCATACTGAAACCTGATAGAAAGTGAGTGAGTGAGTGAGTTGGGTTTAACGCCGCTTTGAACAGTATTTAACGGTATGCTAGCTTTGTGGGAAGGAAAACATGAGCTGATGCAGACATTTACCACTTTGGTGAAACACACGATCACAGATGCTGTTGACATACCAAGAAATATGATGAGATTGAGCCTGGAATTTAAATCCACGATCAAGTTTCTGGCACGCCCAGGGGACGGAACTCTACACAGCATATTAAGGCGCTATATAGACGACTGAACCATACGTGTTCCATGAAAATGCATAGGGATTCCCGACAGAGTGAGTGTAAGAGCCCACAAATGAGGATCGGAGGGGACACTGTGGCCCGGCTGATTGTGTGCCCTCGTGCCCGACTACGCGGGCCGATGCTCATGCTGTCAACCACTGTTTCCCACTTCCAGACTCGTTTTATTACAGGTAATCGTTATATAAACTGCCAGGAAACAATATAACACTCAAGGCAAGTAAGTCTTAAGGGCTCTACAAATTCTAGTATAGCATGTGAAAAAGCTGTCTACTTTTAGAAAACAATTCTCAAAGTTGAACACAATAAGAGGCATTTGCATAAAAGGTTGTTTCGTGTTAAACCTTTATTTGTTGACATATTGTGGTTAGGATCTATCTCCAGTTAACACTTATTTTTGCATATAAGCAACCTAAATTAGGTCTTACCTAGCTCTCTTCATCCTTTTCCATGCAAACCACACGTACTGGATCGGGTTTGTTAGAAGGCATAGGATGGATGACACAGGTGAAACACAGACGGATCTGGGAAATAGTATTGTTCATTGCAGCACTTTATGAGAGGATATTCCTCCTCTTTTATGAAATATTCCATACAAAATTCTAATAGTCACTTTGGAATTTGGACACAAACATATGAAAACTGTTTTCTTACAAACGAAATATGGTTTAAACACAATAGGCTTTCATACTTGTTTGTGATATTCCCAAACTTTCGTATCCATAAGGAAGAGAATTTATGGATGTCAACTTCTTTATCATAATTAACAAGTTGACATCCATGAATTCTCTTCTTTATGTGTATCACTTCTAAATGCCTTTCAAAGACTTTCGTATCCAGTTAAACAAGGTGGGCACGTGTATAATATTAACTAACTCATATGAAAAAGCATTATTTATCAGCTGTCATCTTATATAAGGCATCCCGCATGGAGATAGATTGTGGACAATAACACATACATATTAATTATTAGAAATAGGATTTGTTGAAAACATGTAAATATATACAGTATTTTTATCAGACAGGAGCTAACATAACTATTTGCATCCATAATGTACGAAGAATGTGTGGTTACATATGGCTATAATGTATTTATTTCAGCCAAATGTGGACAAATGTTATGATCACCCGGGCTTGTTTTTTGGTTTCGAAGATTTTTTAGGCCAGGTTCGGTAGAGGTGGCATCGTCAAGGTGAAAGCGTTTGTTCGAGTTCCCTCAGTGTAGCATATATACATGGCGTGACCCGTCGTAGGATTGCTAAATAGTGTGTAACTCTTCTCAAGTCACTCACCCAAAAAGCTGCATGCGATCACACACACCAGTCCTGTTGACAGATCATGTACGTTTTCAGTTTACACCAAAGTATTTGAATAGTCCCACGTAGCAATGTAGTAAATGGAAATACGTATACACCTTTAAACGTGTGTCACTTTTTCAAAAGAAGTACATGTACTTGAGATTTTAAACTTCAATCATTACCCTGTACGAAAGCCCATTGGGAACATCTTGGTATTTTTTCTCTCTTTTAAAAGTCGTAATTACGAGAATAAAGTCGTAATTACGAGTTTTGAATTTATAAAGTCGAAATTACGAGAGAAAAAGTGCTTATAAAAGGCAGTACAAAAGGATGATTCTTCCACTTCCACATGTAACTTGTTGAGTCACTGCACCCGAAACAGTTCTGTTCGTTTGCCCATCGTATGGGTTTACAATTGCCATACCTCTCTCTGTTTACTACAAACTATGGATGTATATAGATGATACTTTATTAATTCATGGTGTTGAAATTCTTCTGTTATCTCTCATTATTATATTGATGTATTAAATAATTTAACGTAAAATACATTTCCCTGGTTGTGTAATCGGAAACTCCATACACACAAATAGATGCTAATTGTAGTGGGTACGTTACAAAGTAATGTGGAAATTATAAAATGTATGTTAATAGTGATATCTTTCCAGTGCAAAAGGTTCATGGTTTGATTTGTTATGAGTAGTTAAATAATACCCAAAGAATCTTATTATAAACTATTTTCTCTCGTAATTACGGCTTTATTCTGGTTATTACGTGTTTTGAAAAGTCGTAATTACGACTTTATTCTCGTTATTACGAGTTTTCAAAAGTCGTAACTGTGACTTTTCTCTCTCGTAATTACGAGTTTTGAAAAGTCGTAATTACGACCTTTTTCTCGTAATTACGACTTTATGCACGTTATTACGAGTTTTGAAAAGTCGTAATTACGACTTTATTCAGATCAAAATCGAAATTGATATGTTATAAAGCGTAAATCATTGCTTAATACATAGGGTTACGAAATTACTTTAGATTTGGGGTACGAAATTGCTCATTTCTTTGGAGTACGAATTCGTTTGGGTTAAGAATTTATATACACCCGAAGATTTTGATTCATGAGCGAAAAATATATTGGTAGGAAACATAGGCAAACTCGTAATTACGACTTGATTCTCGTTATTACGAGTTTTAAAAAGTCGTAACTGCGACTTTTCTCTCTCTCGTAATTCCGAGTTTTGAAAAGTCGTAATTACGACCTTTTTCTCGTAATTACGACTTAATGCACGTTATTACGAGTTTTGAAAAGTCGTATAACGACTTTATTCAGATCAAAATCGAAATTGATATGTTATAACAGCGTTCGAAATACCTGCCTGCCCGACCGTCCGAGACGGGTTGATTTTAACTCGGGCTGAGAGATTTTCAAATCCCCCTGCCCGACGGTCGGGTTATATAACATAGGTGAAAATATTCTAAATATTTCCCGATGATAATTATTATTTCACATGTAAAGATGAATGATAAAATGTAACCAAAAAGAAACCCCGTTAGCTTTTAGACAACCTAACATTTAGCGATGCGCTTATGCTACAAGCAATCAGTTTTCATATTTTTAATTAAATTATCCTGAGAAACATACGATAATAGTGGGCAGGCAGGTTTTGGTCAGGGCTGGCAAGTATTTCAGCTAGCCAGTCCTGTGGTCTGGCTGAAATTTTTGGGAGTTTCATACCCTGGTTATAAAGCGTAAATCATTGCTTAATACATAGGGTTACGAAATTACTTTAGATTTGGGGTACGAAATTGCTCATTTCTTTGGAGTACGAATTCGTTTGGGTTAAGAATTTATATACACCCGAAGATTTTGATTCATGAGCGAAGAATATATTGGTAGGAAACATAGGCAAACATTAATGTTTTCCATTGCGCAGTGTGTAAAGAGAAAAGAGATATTACGTCCCTTCCCTCTACACTAGTTACCGCTTGAGGGCGCTGATGTAGTCCTTCCTCCATTTTCTTCAAGTTCGTCGGAAGCCTGTGAAGGACAAGCATCGAAGTAGGTGCCAGCTTGTTTATGTGGAGCAGAGTTAATTTGTGTTGACACTGTGACATCTATCATAAAATGTTGACGAACTCTAAGCACAAAATTTGAAACGCTAAAATCCATACTCTTATTGAAACGCCGAAACCGGTGACAAGCGACTGGTCCTTCCGTTTTCGTGCAGAATGTGCTCTGTTGATGATTAGATGCCGGTTTACTACGCTGTCAGCAATACATATAGAGTAACAGTGGTTGCAAGGGCTTGCTAGCATGAGAAACGATTCAGGGTGCCCCGTCTTTTACGTTTGAATACGCGATTCACAAAACCCCAAGCACAAAA